TTCCCCTTTGATGCCATTTCCCCAAATACCCTTATTTCTATGGACGAGGTGACTGAGACCCAGAGAAGCAACACACACATCTTAGGGTGAAAAAGCTTTCTAGCAGTGGATCCCATCCCAGCCCACCCACATCCTTAGGTTCTCCAACATTTAAAGGGTAGTAAGGGTTTTCCTTCTCCAGTTTGAGACTCAAACCCAAAGGTTTGTGCTCCAGTAAAGGTTTAGAACTTCTTATCAATCATCAAATCCTAAAATTCTCAGGGGAGGATTACGGTTTGGGAGTGGTAAGAAATTAGTCCCCAAAATATAGACCTATAAGAATTATATTATTATTTAGAATCACTGTGATTAGAATATATTTAGAATCACTCTGTTTCTGTGTAAAAACAGATTTAAACTTCAAAACAGCATTTCAATCTGGAGAACACTGAAATTGCCATTTCTCACTGGACATATTTTATATATCAAAGGATAGTAGGAGGAGAGATATTCACTCTTTTGCAATATTTCTTCTAGGTAAATTGTCAGAATTTCTTTGATGTTAACCCTTATGTTAAATAAATGTACCTCTCATTAATTCAGAGCTTTTTAAGAAGAATTTCTAAGTATGCTTCATTTGGTGCCTTTTATTTCTTTAAAAAATGTAGAAATATATGTAAAATAAATAAGTTTTCAAACTGTAAGTTATTTCCCCCTGGTTAAGTATATAAAAATACATCATTCACTTTATATTTGCAACTCAACCACCAATATTTTTGCTATTTCAACTTTACAGATCTGTCCTCCTTATTCTGCTAAATAACTACTGAATGCAACACTTTATCCCCATTCCCACAGCTATAATCACTTCAAATATTTTCTCCTAAAATATTTTAACAGCCTCTAAATTGGTTGCCCTTCCAGGGTCTTTCATTTTCCATGTGGTTGTCAAATCTAATAATGACATCCTATCAACTAAATGCCATCAATGGCTCCCTATGACCTAAAGGATAAATTCCAAATTACCTAGCATACAAGGCCTGTCACAATCTGGCAGCAATTTGCCCTTGTTCATCTAGTGTCATTACTTTCTTCTTATATGACTTCCAGTTTACAAATTATGCAAACCCCATGCTGCTTCAAGACTCTATTATATCTTTGCACATCCTGTTCCCTCTGTGTGATTAATCCTCCCTACATTTCCCCATATGAAGAGCTTGTCCTCCCCATCTTTCAGACGTTTCAAAGATCCCATCACACACCAAACACTCCAGCCTGAATTTTGGCAATATTGTACATATACCTCTAATCCCAATCTGATATATGTTATTATCTGCATATCAGTCTCCCCACCCCCAACAACTAAACAGGTTCTTTGAAGACAGGAACTTATTCATCTTTGTAACTCCAGGGTCTGACATAATACATGGCATGGAAGGAGACAACTGTAAATGTTTGTCGAATGAATGAATCGGCAGATCTAACAACAAAAAAAAATCAGAGAAATTTAAAAAATGAACAATGAAAATTTGATTTAATATAAATTGTCTCAATTACCCAGTAGTATGCATACTATTCTACAGTATTATGATATCATTTTATTATGTGATTATTGAAGTAAAAACCAATAGAATAATCCATGCAGGAATTAGGGAAAGATTCATGTGACTAAGACTGCACTTAAATGTTCCCAGGATAGCAAATTCTCACTTAAAAAAAAAAATGACTTAATGTCTGGACTTGTTAAGAAGGTGGGTTGGGTTAGAAGAGGTGGCAGAGAAAAATGCATGCAGATTTTCAAGCATATTGCAAGTCACATGTCTCCTGGAGGTAATCTGATCTACCACTTAGGGCACAGAATGCAGAACTCTCAGAAATTCTCAGGCTGGACAAATAATAATAAAATGATGCTTTATTTATGGAAATGTTGTATGGTTTAAACCAGGACATGTTTTGGAGAAAAAACCTTCTAAACTGTAAAGTGATATTCATGGTTTAGTTTTTCTCCATTATTAAACTTTGACTTATGAAAAAATAATAATTATGAAATTTTTATACACCCTTTTTATGCTCAGATTACTTTGATATAACTGACATGTCCCATTCTTTGATGAACTATGGCTGTAGTTTTAATAAAAAGAATAAATGAGAGCAATAATATTAGTCTGGTTAAGTGAGAAGAGAGGTCAGTGACCAACCTAACAGAAAAGTTATTCTTGTTATAAAAGTCTCATTTTCCAACTCTAAGTATACAAATAGAAAACCACAGTGCTTCTGATGTCTTTAGGGGACAAATTCATGGAGTAGAAAAATCCTATTCCTCTTTACAAACACTGTAAATGATTGACTTTTTTTCATTGGCTGTGGAGTTGGCATAATTCAGGCTGTCTACAATTAGTAACTTGTTAGTAACTGCCATGTAATTATTGGCTTGCGTTCAGATATTGGCAGATGCCTAATAAGACACTTAATGAATTTTTCATTAGTCTTTCTGAGAATGCCTTCAGGAGGAAATATTTCTGAAGACAGCAACTACTTTTACTTTCCTTTTCTCCCCATCTTGAGCCTCAAGGGATTTTCAAAAGTCGAATTTTTAAATGTTAATATAATCACATCTGAATATCTTTCAGTCAAATATTCTACTCTTTAGTAAATTTAGTTTCACTTCTTACTATGTATGTCCATCTACCAAAGCCATCACTAGACTATGATTGAAAGACACTTCATTTACACACATTTGTTTTGAGTTTTCAAAGCATTAATTATCCACATATCTGACATAATTTTAAAATAATGGGGCAGGGATAGAATCAACAGTTTCTAATAGATAATTTTAACTACAGATTTTGTTATTCAAACAAAAGTCTCAAATAAAAATAGGCAAGTATTTGATGCTAGAATATATTTTAAATGCTCACCTATCTAACCAAAATGTGTTTAAATTTTATTGTACATTGAAATTTTAGCACAAAGAACTACATTCATAACAACTTAGTGCTTTATATACATGTTAAAAATGGTTACGTGGGGAAATCACTGATTGCTACAATAAAACTTTCAATTATATCATCTATGAATGTTGCGGAACATTTCATTATTGATTCTTCAGAGGAGATATAACTGCTGAATGCTAAGTGTAATTTTGATTTGTCAACATTACTTTTGCTGTAATTAAAACCCTAAAGTGATCTTTAAATAACTCTTCATTCCAATTGCATCCTGATGAGTTTCTTTATCTCTGTAATTGGAATGTCAACACCTCAAAAAGTGACTCATCCAACTCCACTTGTCATACTTCAATGTTCACACTTAAAAAAGCACCTCTAAGCACTTTCTGTCAGAATGTTTAGTTAGAGGACATATTTGCTTAAACAACAACTGAGAAATAACTTGGGCAGAATTGAAGTGATGTGATTTCAGTGATGTAAATTTCCTTTACTATTTATTTTTTTAATTTGTTTTTTATAAGATATAATTGATTCACAATATTATATTAGGTTCAGGTATATAACAGAGTGATTCAATATTTTATAGATTATGCTTTTAAAGTTGTTATAAAATATTGGTTATATTCCCTATGTTATAAACTATATTTTGTAGATATTTTATTTTATATATAGGAGTTTGTACTTCTTAATTCCCTAATTCCACTCGCTTCTTCCTACTTGGAATTTTTTCTTCTTTAAAACTTGGTTGCTTCATCCTTCTCCACACTGGCATAAATTTGCAGAGCCTCATCTCACAGTATTAAATTATAAAAAATCCTCTCTTCCTTAGCATCTCATCTCTTTTCTTCTTCCAGATGTTTTGATCTAAGCTTACTGAGAAGAAAGCAGTCTCCTAAGAGAAGTCATTAAAATGGATAGGCTTTGCTTGGAACCTCCCACGAAAATTAGCTTCCCTGGTGGTTCAGCTGGTAAATAATCCACCTGTAATGCGGGAGACCTGGGCTCGATCCCTGGGTTGGGAAGATCCCCTGGAGGATGGCATAGCTACCCACTCCAGTGTTCTTGCTTGGAGAATCCCCATGGACAAGTGGAGTCTGGTGGGCTGCAGTCCATGGGGTTGCACTTGTACTTTACAAGATATCTGAAGATGAAAACATCTAATAATAAAGGTGACATTAGGCCACTAGATATTAAAGAGATTAATCTTCATTGTGGGGAAAATTTAATCTATAAAGAGCCATCTGCATCTGAAATATTTTGAGTTGTTCATTTGAATTGTTTGTGGTTTCTGTTGAATTTGTGTCATCCTCATCTGATACTGTTCTTTTGTATCATGTCCTTCTCTGCTCTTAATTCCTTTATCCTCAGCTATTTTTTCCCCTAAAACCTTTGGCCCATCCCTAATTCTCCCTCATATCAAATTGCTTCCTTCATTTGTTTTATGCTTAGAGTTGTATAATCTACTCAGAGTTATAAAAAGTGGAAAAATAAAGTATATGTAGAATTTCATATTTGTTCATATTCCAATAATTTCCTAAATGTTACTCTAATTTGAAAGCTATTTTTCATATTACTTTTTGTTGATGTTGTTGATTAAGTAACAATAAATTTAATCATGTATGTAATTTGATTCATAAGGTAAATGATACTGTTTCACTGTCTTTAAAGAGTTTTATTTTCACTTAGTATTTAAAAAAATAAAAAAAAATTTCCAGATTGTAATAACAACCTTATTTTTACAAGCAACTATTCTGCTTCAATTCCATTGGGATATATGTATATATTAACTTATAAAAGTATCATCTACTTGCTATAAAAACTATTTAGAAAAATGCAATTAGAGAAAACACTGACAATGTTAATGATTTTTATGCATGATTATAGAAGTTCTGAATAAACAGATCTAGTTCTTATTTACCAACATTGTCACAAAGGAATATAATAATGTAATATTAAATTAAGAAATGTATTTGGTGAAAGTATATAAAAAACTATATATATATATATATATATTTATAAATGAGTATTTTATGAACTGCTAAAACACTGAGTCATTTGTGCTACTGGACTAACCTTTGTGTCTGTGAGATCCATCCATGTTGCTAAACTCGATGTGATTTTCATCAGCCCAGTAGAGTCTATGGTTGACATAATCTATTGTTAGTGCCATAGGTCTAGAAATCTTGGTCTCTATGACAACACTCTGATTGGTTCCATCCATTCCAACACGGCCAATGTGAGGATACTCACAGCAGTCAATCCAATACAAATACCTAGAAAAGAAAATCAGCAGGCATATTATTTACAATCAGGGAATAAAACACCATACAGTATTTCTCTTATTTACTCAGCTATTCCCAAATTAATTCTTGTATCTCTCTAAATTGTAGTTTGTAAAAGCATACTCTAGTGCAAACTTCTGTTATGTTTTTTTTTTTTTAAACATATAGCATACTTTGAAATATCCAGATAATTTTAGACATGTTTCCTTTAGTAAACAACTCATGTATATAACATTTCAGGAACTGTTAACAAATTACAGATGCCCAAAATGAAAGTTGTAAACTTTCAAAATGCATCTATAATGTTAAAGGAATAAAACAACCCAGATGCATTTTTTTCTTTTGTTTTACCTATGAAAAATTCAAAATGAATTATGGAGGAATACATTGTATTTTCTTAGATGCTCATTGTCCAGTGTGGTAGCCACTAGCTAATTGTGATTCTTTAAATTTAAATTAATTAAAATCATATAAAATTAAGTGAATTACATAAGTGAAAAATAATTTCCTCCATTAAATGCTGTCAACAAAGTATTACAAATTTTTGGAGATGAATATAAAGTATTTGAGGTCATTAAGTAAATTATGGGGTTTCTCTGGTGACTCAGTGGTAAAGAATCCACCTGTCAGGAGACAAGGTTTGATCCCTTGGTTGAGAAAGTCCCCTGGTGAAGGAAATGGTAAATCACTCCAGTATTCTTGCTTGGGAAATTCCCTGGACTGAGAAGCACTGTGGGCTATAGTCTAGGGGGTCAAAAAGAGTTGGACATGACTTGGCAGCTAAACAACAACAACATAGTAAATTATGAATTTCAAATCATCTGACCTCTGTGTAATAGCAAATCTAAATTTTTGTTTGTATTTTGAACTTTTAATTTGGCTAATATTATCACCATCTTGAACCAAGATACCAGAAAGAGGAAGAACATATTTTATGGAGTCCAACAGCTCTTACATTACCCTAAATAAGTTCAGTAAGAGTTTGAGGCTTGAAATTCTCTCCCTGATATTCAAATTTTTCATTATGAGACACAAACAGACTTCTACAAATGACTTTCCACTTTGGAAATGTGTGAACTGAGCTCTACTTGGAGTAATTATAGTTCTATAATTTTCACTTCTGTGCTTTCATCATATCATCTGACTTGCTCCTGTCTCTTCAATTATATAGATATTTTCATTCAGACATAACTTATATTGTCTCCTCTGTTCTCCACAAATTCTTCTCTGATTTGTGTCAGTTCAAATTTTTCAAAGTATGTTATAAAATTATATATTTGAAAAATGGTTTTGTTAAGCAAAGTAAGCATCCTCTTTTTAATTACAGGACTTCTCAAAGCTATTAAAATGGTACACATATAATGATTGTCTAAGATAGAGCTATGATATCCTTTTTTATCACATAGTTTTGGGTAATACCATTTATCTTCCTAGAGCAGGTTGCAGGAGACACACTTTACGAAACTCTGCTTTAGCTAGTTCTGGTCTACAGAATTTCTTTATCATGTGTATAATTGAACAACACATATATCACGCATATAGGAACCCACAAAGCAGTAATGACACAGGTTCTTGTGGTTCAGAATCAGAGAATCTAACTCAATAAATCAGTTGGTGGGGCATCTCTGATAAATCCCCAAGCCATTCTTAAGTGGACTGAAAAACGTGTCTTGAAACAGTGATTCACTGAGGTCATAATATATCAAACATTACTTATTACTGAGAACACAGAGGTAAACATTATTTTTGCCATCAAAGATCTCTCAATGAATACAATAGAGGTGAATGTTAAATCAAAAATTTTAAGACTATTATGATAAAAGTTTTTTTTTTTACCATGGAGGTGCCAATGAAGGAACAACAATTTTACCTAAATGGAAAATGAAATGAAAAATCTTATTCTCACTAGTAGCTCTTTGAGCATAAATCTTATCTTCAAAACAGTCTAACCAATTTCTTGATAGCAATGATCTTTCTTCTCTTTCAGAATTTAAAATAAAGTATAATTTAAAGATTTTAATGCTGCAACAGGTCTTGAAAATCACATAGCTTCAGGCCTTCACTTCATGATAAACTGAAACTGTAAAATATTATGAGCTTTGTCCTAGCCTGTTACAATAGTGGTAGCTGGACCAAGGGCTCAGGTCTCAAGATTTACAGACTTTTTTTAAAAAGCATTTTTATATTTAAGATAAAATTCATATTCCATGAGTAATGCAGTTTTGTCATTTTTTTTCCTAATCAACATTATGTAAAGTCTTAAAAGCAAAACCAAAAAATAAAAAGCCTAGAAACAGATTACTGAGCTCAAATACCAGGTCTACCCATGTGAACTGGGCACTTTAGTTAACTACCCCAAGCCTGGATTTATTTATATGTTCAAAAGGGATAATAGTAATAATTTCTCCCCACAGAGAAAAATATCAACCTTTGAAGCATTTTTTGTTTTTCAGCTCTAATTATTTACAATAAATTTTATACTTAGATAATATTTAAGGTTGCATTTTAGATGTAAAATGACCAGAAGGTCTAGTTCAGACTTATTGAGAAGCTTAAATGCATAGTAATGAGGCTTAAGTATGAAAAAGGTAACAAAATAAAGCCATCAGAAGTTGACCACCCATAAAGAGAGAGGCACAGTAAATGCTTTGCTTGTGAAAACTCATTCGTGCTCATCCTGTCTGACTCTTTGATACTGCATGGACTATTGCCTGCCAGGCTCCTCTGTCCATGGGATTCTCCAGGCAAGAAAACTGGAGTGGGTTGCCATTTTCTCCTCCAGGGGATCTTCTCTATCCTGGGGTTGAACCCGGGTCTCTGGAATCTCCTGTATTGGCAGGCAGATTCTTTACTACTGAACCACCTGGGAAGTTCAATTTAAAAATAAGGCATGCTTGTAATTACTATGCAGTTTCTTTAATTTCCCAAATAACATACTATCTATAGTAACTTAAATTTTGTAAAAAGGCAAATTGTAAAACAGGAAAAATTTTTTTCTATGCCTTGTTTGGATGACCCTTGGAAAAGTTGCTCATGGCTCAAGGTAATTTTTTTACTGTAAACTCTAATGAGATACAATAGAGAAAAGAGCTGACCAAAGCTTGGAAACTGAATTAAATCCCTAGTTTAATATCATACTACCTAAATGATCCTGAGAAAATCACTTAGCCATTTTGGCTGAATGTTCTTTGTTGAGTGTGTGTGTTCATCATTCAGTTGTGTCCGACTCTTTGTGACCCCATGGACTGTAGCCCACAAGGTTCCTCTGTCCATGGAATTTTCCAGGCAAGAATACTGGAGTGACTAACCATTTCCTTCTCCAGGGGAAATTATCAACCCAGGAACCAAACTCAGGTCTCTCACATTGTGGACAGATATTTCCAGGCAAGAATACTGGAGTGAGTAACCATTTCCTTCTCTAGGGGAAATTATCAGCCCAGGAACCAAACTCAGGTCTCTCACATTGTGGACAGATACATTACTCTCTGAGCCACCAGGGAAACCTGTTCTTATTTGTACTAAAAATATAATAATAAGAACAATCAGGTCTTTTTCAGAGACTCTGAGAAAGCAGTATATGCATCTAAAGTGATATAACACAGACAGATTTTTCTAATTTGCAAAATACTATAGAAGTGGCAGTGATCATCATTATCATTATTATTATTATTTGGCACTCCAACTCCCAATAGGTCATTCCACTTTCTTATATCCGCCCCTTTTCCTACGTTCCTCCTATTCTGAGGAAGTCATTTTTCTGTGTACCTTCTTTGCCCAAGCCACAAGTCTTATAAGGTTTATTTCATTGTTGTTGTTGCGTTGTATTACATTTTGATTTATTCCTAGCTCCTTTTTACTCTGTAAACTGGTATCAAAGTTCTCCAATTACATATAGCTAATTTGCTCCCTTTGTATGAGGTTTTTTTTTTTTTTTCAATTCTTTGGATATGCCATGCTCTCCTATAGGTCTTTACTTTTCCATAAAACTTCTTTTTGCCTGAATTACCTTCAGCTCTGAAGTGAACCACATAATCTGACTAATTCATACTTCACCACTCTTGTCCAGGAATATCTCACTGATTCCAGTTGAGGCAGACACATGTTCTATTTTCTCCACTTTAGAGGTACTGCATTATATGACAATTATTTGCTCATCTGCCTACTAACTGAACCAGTACTTTGAAACAGGGGTTGTATCTTTTATTTTTATACTATACCTAGAAGAGTGCCAGATATACACTAGATGCTAGAGAAATATGAGTTGAATAAATGAATGAGTAGATGAATTTATTTTGTTAACCAGTCATAATATACTTTCAATTTACTGTCTATCATAATGAATTTTTGTTATGCTGAAGTGATATTTTAAAGATAAAAGTATGCTCATTCTAATCCCCAAAAAAGGCAATGCCAAAGAATGTTAAAACCACCACACAACTGCACTCATTTCACATTCTAGAAAGGTAATGCTCAAAATTCTCCAAGCCAGATTTCAACAGTAAGCGAATTGAAACTTCCAGATGTTCAAGCCAAGATTTAGAAAAGGCAGAGGAAGCAGAAGAACCAGAGATCAAATTGCCAAAATTCATTGAATCATAGAAAAAGCAAGAAAATTACAGAAAAAAAATCTACTGCTTTATTGATTATGCCAAATCCTTTGACTGTGTGGATCTCAACAAACTGTGGAAAATTCTTAAAGAAATGGGAATACCAGACCACCTTACCTGCTTCCTGAGAAACGTGTATGCAGGTCAAGAAGCAACAGTTAGAACCAGGCATGGAACAATGGACTGGTTGCAAACTGGGAAAGGATTACATCAAGGCTGTATATTGTAACCATGCTTATTTAACTTATATACAGTATACATCATGAGAAATACTGGGCTGGATGGAGTACAGCTGGAATCAAGATTGTGGGAAGAAATAACAACAACTTCAGATATGAAGATGACACCAGCCTTATGGAAGAAAGTGAAGAGGAACTAAAGAGGCTCTTGATGAAAGTGAAAGAGGAGAGTGAAAAAGCTGGCTTAAAACAGCATTCAAAAAATAAGATCATGACATTTGATCCCATCATTTCATGGCAAATAGATGGGGAAACAATGGAAACAGTGACAGAATTTATTTTCTTGGGCTCTAAAAGCACTGCAGATGGTTACTGCAGCCATTAAATTTTTAAGACACTTGCTCCTTGGAAGAAAAGCTATGACAAACCTAACAGCATATTAAAAAGAGAGACATTACTTTGCCAGCAAAACTCTGTCTAGTCAAAGCTATAGTTTTTCCAGTAGTCATGCATGGATGTGAGAGTTGGACCATAAAGAAGGCTGAGCACTGAAGAATTGATGTTTTTGAACTGTGGTGTTGGAGAAGACTCTTGAGAGTCCCTTGGACTGCAAGGAAATCCAGCCAGTCCATCCTAAAGGAAATCAGTCCTGAATATTCACTGGAAGGACTGATGCTGAAGCCAAAGGTCCAATACTTTGGCCACTTGATTCAAAGATATGACTCATTTGAAAAGACCCTGATGCTGGTAAAGATTGAAGGCAGGAGGAGAAGGGGATGACAGAGGATGAATGGTTAGATGGCATCACTGACTCAATGAACGTGAGTTTTAATAAGCTCTGGGAGATGGTGAAGGACAGGGAAGCCTGACATGCTGCAGTCCATGGAGTCGCAAAGTTGGACATGACCGAGCGACTGAACAACAACTATGCTCAGCACAGTTTTGTATTTTCTATTCTATTTTAAAATGCATCTATATATCTTCTGTTTATAAATACTAAATATAAATGATATTACTCACCCAGAATTTATGATTAAATTAGTACACTGATTCCCAATCAATAACAGAATAACAGGGATAATTGGATTTCAGCTGAATTTTAACGTAATAACCAGGAAGATGATCTATTTATATTTTCTTTTTCATTCTTACTAACCAACATATCCACAATGAGACCACTGGCATACTACCATCATAAGAAAGTATCCCCAAGCTCCCTTTAAAATGTTTATAGATGCTTTATCACATTAGACCTTCCAATGATCTTTATCTTCCCTAAAGAATCCTTGCTTTCTTCTTCACTAAATATTGGGACAGAGATTACACTTCTAAAGAAAAGAGGGGTTAGTAGTAGTATTGGTATATTCAGAACATATGCAAATCACAATAGAAAAGTTCAATTCCACCTTTACGGAATACTCAGAATTTAAGCTGTCATTTTTGGAGCAAGATTGTGTAATAATTTAGACAGCCATGGCATTTCCATCCTGAAGCTCATCTCATATAAACTAAAATCCAAGTTACCTTATTGTCTCACTTTGGGGAACCAGGAAAACAGTATGAACAAAAAGGTGTCATTAAATTTTATCTGTTAGAATCTGTTTATCTGCTGTTATATGGCTTTAATTGTTTCATAAAAATACCTGATTTTTATGTTTCTTGGGTTATAATCTGGGATTTCATATCATACTTCAAATATTATTTAAAATGGAATCAAAGGAGTCTTTCATAATATCTGCAATAATTTAATATTTTGCCATCTTAATTGACACTTTTGGCAGGTTGATGATAAGTTCAGATTGCATCAGTTAATGGGTTACTAACTCTAACCTGGGAGAAATAAACCTTAACACTAGATTCAGCTGTGTTCACTAGGGTAGGATACAGTTTGCTTTATAAACAGGAAATTTCCAAATACTGTTATTAACAAATAATGCTTCTTATATTTGGAAAATAAGGCATCTTGAAAATTATGAGATGAGAGCTAAGAGAGAAATACTGATTTGAAGAAAAGGACAATGGACAAGCTAAAATATCTTGTGATAAAATACCAAATGACTCAAATATGCATATTCTTTTGAATGAATGATCATGATAGCCAAACAGTATCTGACCATTATTTCCTGTAATATCTATGGAAACAGACTCCATTGTGACTCTGTTCATTTAAAATATAGTTGATATTCTATTGTTACTATGGTAAAGAAAATATTTTAAAAGGTAACAAAATAGTATGCATAATTGTATAGTGAAAAGTCAAAACTTGCACCATTACCTTGGAAATGGTTTGTAGATTTACAGTACAAGTCTTCCCCATTACATATTGCTTTTACCCAAATTAATATTTAAAATTAAGCTCCAGGCATATTATTATATGATCACTTTGTCGATTATAAACATGAGACAGTAAAACAGAGATACATTATATTAGCAAGAAGCAAAATTTAATTATTGCATATGGTTAAGCAGTGATTTGGTGAACTATTAAATGGGAAATTAATTAAGACAGCAGAAAATCTAGAGCACTAGAGTTAGTATAATGCTTGTTTATTGCAAATATGTGATATTTTTAAAAAGCAAATTTTCTCTAAATTTGTTATTTAAAAACATGTTCAATAGGTTGAACTTCTACAGAGATCATTTTGGAGTATGTAATCACTCAAATTATAGTGTTAAAAAAAGAGAATGATATGCCTTCTCTACCTACCAAAATAACATAATTGAAAGTAAATGATAATGGTCATAAACTACAGAACTTTAGAAAGCAGCTTTGACACTTAAATGTGTGTTCAACACTCATCTAAATTCTCCAGCCAGTTGTCCTTGATCCGTATGATGACTTGTTCTTAATTCTCACAGAAAAATGCAAATAAAATTCAACACTAATATGAATCTTCCCTGAGATTCTCACTATGCTTTTCCCTCTGAATGCATGGATAATGCACCGCTATTTATTATTCATAGGTACTACTTATGTCTCCTGATAATAAAGTTGTTCAGGAATCACAATACCTCCATTCTTGACTACTACAAATACTGCAAAACAATATCCAAGAGTTTATCTTTGCTTCTCTTTCCTCCAAGATTTAAAGGCATTAAAATTGAATAAATCTGTGTTTTATTTATTTCATACACTTATTGGATTGTTAGAAGAGTTGTGTTTAAAACCTAAAAAAAATACTTCCTGTAAAATTCCATCACTTAAATTTTCTTTCTCTGTGATAGTCACATTTGTATTTTTGATTTCTCAATTAAAATTTCTACACATTTACACTTTTCATTGGTTCCCATGTTAAAATCTACAGGCCAGGATTTACCATACTGAACATAACCCACAGTCTTAAGTTTTAAGATTTTCAATGTTTGTTACAAACCCAGCACGAGGATCTAAAGACAGGTCCCTGGGAAACTTCAGCCTTTTGCTAACAAGTATAGTAGGGTATAAGCCATTGAGTTTGGATACTTCAATGATCCTTTTTTCTGTGTCCGACCAATAGAGGTTTTTTCCAATCCAATCAACAGCAAGTGCATTGGGGACAGCTGTGTTATGCACTACCTAACAAAATAAGAATTTTAAAAGTTAACATTTTAAATGCCTAGAATAAGAATTAAGCAATTACTTCTTGACTTTTTTAGAGATACATAATTGTATTTAAACATTGAAATGGAATTTAGATAAGCACAACATATAGAACAATTTACCTAATAAAATTACTTACTTGTTTGTGAGATTACTCAATATGTAATCAGGCCCCAAGAAATTCAGGCCCCAAGGTTTAAAGAAAGAAACACCAAAATAAAAAGTTGTTGGATGGCTACACAGTTGTTTATTACATTTTCATTACAGTTTACTTATTCTCTCAAAATTTGGAGGAAAAATTCTATTACAGGTAGAGGCACACACATACTAGCACAAAAAATAATTGATATTATCTATTAATAAAAGGTTCTGGGGGAGATACCAATTAATTCAACACTCCCCCAACTGTTCTTGCCCTACTTAAACTACCTACTACAAAGAAAGAATATAAACAAATATATGCATTAAATATTTAACCTAACCAAAGGGAAATAAAAATGTATTCATTTAACAGTTGTGTTCAATTGCAACCTATGTCAAATATAATAAGCATATAGGTTTTGTATGCACAAATATGCTGTATATAAAAAACCAATAGCATTTATTCTGAATTATGAAACCTACTTATTATTTTGGTATTATATATATGTGTATATATATAATTTAAAGATTTTATTAATATTTTCAAAATTGCTTCCACCATAGCTTTCTACACAATATTATAAATGACTTCAAAATTTTTTAAGTAATTGAAGGGTTCAATCTACTTGAATTTGAACTTCTATTAATACATTTTACTACATACATACAGTGCAAATTATTTTATTTTAAAACTTAAATTAACATAGAAATGGTGTCAAGTAGAGTAGTTCACATCTAGAATGTGATATGTGTTTAATTTTGATGCTGTCTACTCAAAGAATTCATCATTTTACACAAATGTATTCAATTATTTCCTTCTATAACAATATAATAGTGCTATAATTTCAATCTACATTCTAATAATTACTTTTTTCAATTACAAATACTCTAACTCAATATTTTCTTTTACGGAAATCAACACAATTAAATCTCAGGCACTAATCATTCAAGTTCAAAGTATTCATCACATTTTATAGGGTTGTGACTATAAGTTTTCAGATTTTATTTACTCAATTTGATTTTTATCTTATAGCAATCGTGTTATAATGAAACATGGATAAGAATCTCCAATTTCATATTTAAAGTATACATTAACTTACACTGTACAAATGTGAAATTCAAAACAACCTAATACATTCTATGAGTCATGCCTTTACCATCAAATAACATTTTCTATTCAATTTAACCATACCAATACAATATTGAATTATCTCATCATTGTAATATCCAGGTACCTTAATATCACTTCCATTTAAATACATTCTATTTATGCGACTGCCATTGGGTCGACTGGAATCAATCCAATAGATAAATTCTTCTCTGTAATCAAAGTCTATACCAATAACATTGTTTAATCCCTAAAAATAAAAAAGAATATATCTGAATAATAGTTAACAGAAATCTTCTTACAATATTTTAGGAATTCATAAGAATCAATATTTCCCTTTGAATATAAATAGTTACAGGTTTACAATAAAAAACATGTGTGACCAATTCTTCTTAAAAGCATCATATGTTTACATTTTCTCTATATCATACACATAAGATGTATAGTTTCTTTGAGCATATTTCCAAATAGGAAAAATATTGAGTGTTAAAAGAAAACAGTTTAAGTAAATAGTCAATAATATGGGAAAATTTTTCTTTTAGACAAATAAAGGAAAAAATTTTCATTTTTGGTTAATATTAATTTGATGCTATTATGAGTATATATCTAAATTGAAAAGGTAGGTGATCCCCAATAATTTAAGATGAGCTTTTGCTAGCTACCTGATGAAAGTCAGAAAAGAAGATTTTAAAAGTTTACTTTCCCCAAAAGCTTTTGGTTCAACAACATACTAACATTCTCTGTTTTTCTCATGTTTCAAGCAGCCTGTTAGGCAATACAGAGCCACATTCAAATTTAAAAGTTAAAACTTTAGTGAATATTTAACCAAAGAGGAACTTGGTTAACATCTTTTTATTCCACATGGTAGAAATGTAAGGAAATCCTTCCTTTTAGACGCACAGTTAGTGCATTTTTTAGCAGGTAACAAAATTGAACGTGAATTCAGCTGATGGATTTTTTGATAACCCAGCTCCTTTGGCTGTTTCACTGTTTCACTGATTTGATTTGAGAATTGTTCACTAGGATCTGAGAAGCTTCTTAGCTGTCAAGCTGTTCAAATGACTGCCCAGGGGTTGGTTTATTTATTTATTTTTTCTATTTATNTCAGATTCAAAAGATTCATTAAATATTCATTTGCACACTAAAATTTGGAAGACTCCCTAACTAAATACACATAAGCATTCAACCTAAGAAGTTATCTATGCAAAATCAATCAAGATTCTAAAACATAAATTGAATGTATTCCAAGTTCTGTAGAGCGCTTAATAAATTCAATAGTAGTCTATGATCTTCTTTCTGTTTAAAAGCATTTTTCATTGAAAGAATAAGGTATGGGTTAGGGTTCTGTGATGGCCTGGCAATACAGATAGGTAAATTAGAACTCTTCAAGAAGGATATGGACAGAAACTTCTCTCTCACTTTAGCCAAGAGTTACCCACAATCTCCAGTCTTGGCAGAATAACCCTATTCCATTCTTTACAATAATCAATTTAGATAATGAAAACCCAGTTCCAAATTTAGCAAGTCAACTATAATAAATTAAATCCGTGGATGCAGAGGAATTGAAGCTTAGAATTCTGACATATCTATCAAGACAAACTAGTCATTTTCCTACAGCTTTACTCTTAATCTCTACAGAAAACAGTGCAAAACCCTTCTTGCAGAATCATATGCAAGGAACATTAAAACAGCCAAAGGCATGGTCAAAATAATGTCAAAAAGCTAGAGTCATTCCAGTGGTTTCAGAGCTGAAAATTGGTTTCATCAAAATACTACTTGCTTCTTTTATTTCTGTGGTTGAGATTTGCACCATTTGATTCAAGATGATTAATTTAGGAAATTGTGTTTTGTTTCTTGATACAATTTTACTGGAATGAAAGGCACTGCTAGAAATGAATTGGATTACATATTGGAAAGCTACTTGATTAATTTTCATTTCTAAAATCCATTTACATTTTCTAAATGTGCTGTACGAATTTAAGTTATAGCTATCTTAGCTATAGCTATACTTTAGAATATATAGGGTAAAAATGTTCTACCAGTTGTTATAATTTTATGCTATAAAGCTTAATGAGATTGTTACTAATACAATAAAGAGGACTTGTTCTCTTTATTGTATTCAATAAAATTAAGGTATTAGAGTAAAATTTAAGGTATTAGAGTAAAATTTAAGGTATTATTAGAGTAAATTATTCTTCCTAATTAACTATGCACAAAATTCCCAATTAATTAAGGCAAGGATATTGTCTTTTCATTTATTTTGACTGGGAGAAAATGTGGAGAGACAATTACTGATATTTTCTACTTCAGTCTACATACGTAGAAAAATCTTTGAGAAAAAAAAATGGTTTTACTTCCTAGAACCCCTTGAAACTTTCTATAATGCTATGATGAAATTGTGGTTAAAAACAAATATCCTAACAAAATGGTATATTTCAAGCAACACACAGTCAAAACTTTAAGGCTTGTTTTTACTATCTTGGGTCTTTACATCCTTACTCAGTTGTCACCCCTAACAAATGCTCTCCAAAGACACAGGTGTCCAGGGCCCGCATGGATTTCTTTATCTTCCTCATATCTTCTTCATTTCCATAAACTACACTAATTGTCTGAAATTCATACCGTCTTAAGTACTAGCGATTCAGTTCAGTTCAGTTCAGTTGCTCAGAAGCGTCCGACTCTGCAATCCCATGAACTGCAACACTCCAGGCCTTCCTGTCCATCACCAACACCTGGAGTCTACCCAAACCCATGTCCATAGAGTCGGTGATGCCATCCAACCATCTCATCCTCTGTCATCCCTCCCCTTCTCCTCCTGCCCTCAATCTTTCCCAGCATCAGGGTCTCTTCAAATGAGTCAGCTCTTTGCATCAGGTGGCCAAAGTATTGGAGTTTCAGCTTCAACATCAGTCCAGTGAACACCCAGGACTGATCTCCTTTATGATGGACTGGCTGGATCTCCTTGCAGTCCAAGGGACTCAAGAGTCTTATCCAACACCACAGTTCAAAAGCATCAATTCTCTGGTGCTCCCCTTTCTTTATAGTCTAACTCTCATATCCATACATGACCACTGGAAAAACCATAGCCTTGACTATACAGACCTTTGTTGGCAAAGTAATGTTTCTGCTTTTTAATATGCTGTCTAGGTTGGTCATAACTTTCCTGCCAAGGAGTGTCTTTTAATTTCATGGCTGCAATCACCATCTGCAATGGTTTTGGAGCCCCCCANGATGTTCTCTGCATATAAGTTAAATAAGCAGGGTGACAATATACAACCTTGACGTACTCCTTTTCCTATTTGAAACCAGTCTTTTGTTCCATGTCCAGTTCTAACTGTTGCTTCCTGACCTGCATACACATTTCTCAAGAGGCAGGTCAGGTGGTCTGGTATTCCCATCTCTTGTAGAATTTTCCACACTTTATTGTGATCCACACAGTCAAAGGCTTTGGCATAGTCAATAAAGTAGAATAGACATTTTTCTGGAAATCTCCTGTTTTTTCAATGATCCAGCGGATGTTGGCAATTTGATCTCTGGGTGGCAACAGTCTAATATTATATCACCAGTAAGTTAAACACTAAAAGAATGTGTGCATTACAATGGTCTGGTTGTACAAGATGAATGTAGATAATGCAGACAGAAAAAAATCATTTGCTCCATTAAGAACAATCTGATAATATATTAATCAAAATATGAAAAATAATTTTAAAAAAGATTGCAGCAGAAATGTCTCAAGTAACAGGGTTGGAAAATAAAGCAAGGAGCCACCACTGAAGCTCTTTTACAGTTCTTTCATGATGACAATCAATACTTTTACTGTACTAGTTAAATTTGTGGCTTTCATCTAAGCTTAAAATAGAGTATTCTAAAAAGAGAATTGTTTTCCCTTTGAGAGAGAGTCTAAAAAGAGGAAATGTTGAAAACAAACAAAAATACTGCAAACAGAATATATAAACATGCCAATACAAGAGAAATGTCAATTCAGAGACAATACAAGAAATTCAATAGTTTGCACATCTAACCTTGAAGGTATAGAAATGCTTACAGAGGGTATGGGGATATACTCTTAAGATAAAAAGATAATTTTCAATATTTTGTAAGTTTCATATAAGCTTAAAATGTTATGGTGGCTCAGCGGTAAAGAATCCAACTGCAATGCAGGAGATGAGGGTTTGATCCCTGGGTTGGGATGATCCCTGGAGGATGGCACGGCAATCCACTCCAGTATTCTTGCCTGGAGAATCCCATGGACAGAGGAGCCTGGCAGGCTCCAGTTCATAGAGTCACAAACAGTGGGACATAACTGAAGCGACTGAGCATGCAGAAGAAATAAGTTAAATAATGTAGAAAACATTGGGGAAATAAAAATGTTTCTAGTTTAAAACAGTTATATAAACTTAATACTTATGGGTATTACTCATCTCTTAAAGAAATAGTTATCTAACTCTTATATTTTAAATAGATTTTAGTTTTTATGAAGAACATGAAAATATTTTATATTTTACCCAATCTCTTAAGGTGCAGAATTAGAGACAAGAGGCGGTGCAATACAGTGGATATTGGTGGCATCCTCCGAACTCAAGAGCAAGAGTCTAAACCTCACAGACATTCCTGAATAAGACAAGTATACATGTATGCATATGGAAAGTTTGAGGACACTGGTGAATTGAGAGCATGGGTTTTATATCAAAGTGACAGCTGCCCCCCGCCTGGGATTGTGCCCATTCAGAGATGTGAGCCCAGCAATGCTACACTGTCCCATTTTTTCATGAGTAGCCAGAAATCTGGATTTTCATGTGAAAATTTCATTTTCAATCTGTGACTTTGAGAGAAGCTGGCAAATTCAACTCTTTTTGGAATAGCCAACATTGCACTTGCTAACAAATATTTACACTTAAAGTAAGACTAAATTCCTAAGCAGTATGGATGAAACTCTAACAATAGGAATGGAGGTACCCATGAGACAGTGAAAAAAATATATTTAGTTAAGCATTCTTTATGTTGTTGAAAAAGTGATACATGAATGACCTTTATCATCTAATGCCTCATGCAGGCATAAACATACTATGAGAAGATGAAACATCCTTACTTTTGGCACACTTGTTCTAGACAGTGCTATCACATAGTCATGTCACTACTGCACATTTTGGAGCAAAGACAAGCTTGCAGCAGGACAGATACAAGCCTAATCTTTCCAAAGAAGCTACTTTTCCTGACAATTAAAGATAGGCTAAAATTAACTATGATATTTCTCTAGCCCATGTAATAATCAGTCTAGTTTAATGATTTGATTTTATGCTATTTTCACTGTAGATTGAGAGGGGAAAAAAAAAGGTTGAGGTAAGTAATTCACATTTCTATTCTGTAATAAGTGAAAATTATTCCTTTTCATCTCAAATAGTATATATAAATAAATACTGACAATAGAACTTAAGCATCACAATAGATCAGCAGTTCAGATTCTCAAAGTAGATCAGTTGAAGGATGACAATGGTAAGGCTAAATATATGCATCTCATAAACTTTTAACCATGACTGGATTACAGTCATACTTTTGCTCCTTTGCTAATTCCAAATTTTAAAGGCTAGGGATCATCAATCCCATGTTATTCCTTCGTTCTGTGAACAGAAACTTAAAGTTCTAGAAAAGATGTTTATTTTTAAATCTCAATGATGGGGGTGAGGGCAACTTGGTTAACACACAAAATACCTTAAAAAAGAATTTTATACCTTCTTTAGCTATTCTTAAGATAGTATTTTAGATATTTTAAGATAGTTTTTTCCTTGCATTAATTATATTTTGCATCTTATACTTTCCATGATATGGTGTGATATTACAAGTTGGAGGACCTGGACAATTCAAACAAAACAAAGTTTATGCTAATCTTATAGGCATACATGCTTCAAAAGTCTAATTATGAGGTATTGCTACAACTCTAATCATATCTGGAGTGGCCATATTAAATATTAGCAAATTATCATGGAAATGTCATACCTGTTTTAAAAGTGTGTAGTTGGAGCCATCAGTGCTAATTTTCCTTATCTCATGATGATCGGCAAGGATTAGAAAAGGCTCTTCATCTAAATACCAAGACAAAAAACAAGTTAGACTTTTAGTAGTTTTGGTTTCCAACTCGGCTTAGTTTCAGTTTAGTTACTCTAGCAGTACAACTTCAAATGCAGGGCCCTCTGGTAAATTAATGGTTAAAAATTCATACTGAGCTCCTCTGCTGATGAAAAGACAGCAGATACCGGTGCAGTACAGAAAATCCAGACAATTCCAAATCCCTCTCTTTCCCTCAAGTTTCTTGAATATTAAATTATCTAATTTATTTGAAATTAGTGGAAAATATCTACTGCTAAAATCTTGCTTTTTGTCATTCTTTTTAAATTGGAATACAGTTGATTTACAATTTTGTCTTAGTTTCAGGTATACAGCAAAGTGAATCAGTTATATATATACATATATCTATTTTTTTTTAAAGATTCTTTTCCATATAGGTTAACACAGAATATTGAGTAGACCTTCCTATGCAATAGGTCCCTATTAGTTATCTGTTTTTTAATATAGTATATATTAAATATAGTGTGTGTATATATATCAAACCTAATTTCTCATATGATACAAATGAACTTAGTGGCAAAACAGAAATAGAGGCACACATGTAGAAAACAAGCCTATGGTTACTGGGGGAAAGGGGTGATGGAGGGGGACAAAAATCTTATTTTTAAATGAAATTCTGAGAAGTATAGTCTTCACCTGTCTTAGAAATCTATATAAAGCTAAACATTCCTACTACTGAAAAGTGAAAGTGAAAGTCACTCAGTTGCATCCAACTTTTTGTGACCCCATGGACTACACAGTCCAGATGGAATTCTCTAGGCCAGAATAAATCTGAAAATTCTCTCCTGATAATCATATAACCAGCTTATGCTCTCAGAATAACTTCCAAGAGTTTCACTGCTGATATGAACTTTTTCCATGTGTCTGGGGACTTCTTTTAAGTAAGAGTCTATATCCTTCTTATCTGTTCAACATGCTTTAATATCATATTTGTTCTAGAATCTAGGAAATATAATAAAAATAATCTAACCATGGTTCATATATATAAAGATAAAACTCTTTTTAAACATCTTTGCTTCTAAGATCTTTATATACTTAGTTTCCTGGTGAGCAAATTTAATGTCAGCATATATTAAAAAAAACAATGAAAAAGGTAATCACTTTAATTTTATGAAGATTTTATTGTAAATCATTCATTGTTATAGAGTTATTGTCCTGTTAATTTCTGTTCAAATGTATTACTTTCCTTGTATCCTTTAGTTTTACAGTATTTATATATGTGTGTGTGTGTGTGTGTGTGTGTGTGTGTGTATGGCAACATATGGCATATGGCAGCAACTCTATTCATCCCAGTCTTTCTGTTGAGGTTAAATTGAGACTAGAAAGACTAAAAAGCCTACTCAGAAGACTTGGCTCTTAAGTTAAAGGTGTCCTGCCATCCCATAAATATAAATACAAAATTAAGACATCATGTTCTACCACAACACTTAGGCAGTTCTGTTCTTTACAACTTAAATGTAAGACCTGAAATCCTGAGACTTCTAGAGAAAAACAGAGAGAAATCTTTACACTGGCCCTGGCAATGATTTTTTGCCTATGACACCAAAAACACAAGAAACAAAAGCAAAAGTGGGACTACATCAAACAAAAAAGCTTCTGCAAAGCAAAAGGAACAATCAACATAATGGAAAGGCAACCTATGGAATAAGGGAAAATACTTGCAAATTATATATCTGAAAAGAGGTTAATATAAAAAAAAACAAACCAAAAACCTCAAACATATCCATAACAAAAAATAAGCAATCTGATTTAAAAATGGGCAGAGGAACTGAATAGATATTTTTTCAAAGAAAACATACAGATGGCCAACAGGCACATGCAAAGGGCTCAACAGCACTAATCATCAAGGAAATGCAAATCAAGACCAGGGATAAACATCACCTCACACCTGTTGGAATGTCATCAAAATGACAAGAGGTAAGTGTTGGCAGTGACTGAAGAAAAGATAAGCCTTGTGCTTTATTGGTTGGAATGTAAATTGGTGTAACCACTAAAGAAAACAGGCTTGCCTAGGGGCTCTTCAGTATAGAATCTGCATGTAATGTAGGAGACCTGGGTTTGATCCCTGGGTTGGGAAGGGAATGGCAACCCAGTATTCTTGCCCTGAGAATTCCATGGACAGAGGAGCCTGACAGGCTACAGTCCACAGGGTCGCAAATAGTTGGACACAATGGAGTGACTAACACAGACAACAGAAAACAATATGAAGTTTGCTCAAAAAAATCAATAATAGAACTGTCATCCAGCAATCTTATTTCTGGTTACATTTCCAAAGGAAGTGAAAACAGGATGTCAAAGATATATCTGCCCTCTCATATTTATTATGCATTATTCACAATAACCAAGACATGGAGACAACCTAAGTGTCCATCGACAGGTAAATGGGATCTATTCAGCTGTGAGAAGTAATAAAATCCTGTCCTGGCATTTGAGACAACATGGATGGTGCTTGAATTGTGCTAAGTAAAACAAATCAGACAGCAGAAGATAGATCCTCAATGATATCACTTATATATGGAATCTAAAAAAGCCAAACTCATAGGAAGAGTAGAAATGGCAATTACCAAGATTTGAAGGGTGGGGAAAATGAGGATATGTCACTAAAGAGTACAAACTTTCAGTTAGAAGATGAATAAGTTCTGGGGGCTGATGCATCATATTATGATCACAGATAACAACACTGTACTATATATTTGAAAGTTGCTAAGACTTGAAATTTGCTAAGATCCCAAATGTTCTAACCACAAAAAAAAAAGGTAATTATGTGAAGTAATAGAGATGTTAACTATTAATAATACTACCTTAGTAATAATATGGCAATATATAAGTGTATCAAATCAACATTGTATACCTTGAAAGTTATATAATATGTCAATTATACCTCAATAAATTCTGGGAAAAAAATCTATCCTCTGTTTAGCAAAAGATTTATGATTCAAGGACACTTATTTATCTATCAAAATTATTACTAGTTTCTATTTATTGTTGCTAATGGAAAACAACTATACTATGGATACACAATATAACAAGACCCAAATTAAAAATGATCAGCATTCATCACTTCTACACAATCCTCTGTGAAAAGTTTAAAGTAATGGAAATATTGACTAGTTTTTGGATTTCATCTCTTTTTCTTGCCCAGTGTCAGTAAATGAATAATATAGTAAGCAGTGAGCTGGCAGAAAACAAAAACAAAACAGTATCCTGGCAAATAAAACAATGGGCTTCAAATAATATGCAAATTTCTTCAGAGGTGAAAACTCCAAGAATAGGTAAGGGTGGAATGAGAAATTTAAAGGTGTTATTGTTTTCTCCATATGTGCAAAATTGTAATCAGTTAAAAACTAACATTTTAATTTCTATACTGTTATTTATTTGATAAAAGTAGATGAGAAAACATCTATTGCTTTAAATGTCATCAACATAAATGTATATGAGAAACTGGCAATGCTATTTGATTCATTATACTCATTATCAAAGTAAGAGGAATAGAGTAAATTAAACACCATTTTTTGCCCATTTTAGGGTATTATTATGTACTATTTTGCGTCATTTTAATAAGCATGGTTTTATCACCTGATGAATCATAGTTTGTTTTAAGTTACAGGTCATGTTTTATTGAATTTTCTAATTTACAAAGTTTTAACACACTACTGGAAATAAACATAAGTTTAATAATACTTGTCTAATCACTGGAAGAATTCACATAGTCTTACATGGATGACTTATTTCTATTGTTGTCATCAATATAACTGTTATTATTTTTCTTACTGATGTATTTTCTCCTTGGCACACATATATGAGGGTTTGTGGGTGGTATAAGGAGAAGGAAAAAAATTATTAGGACACTGTCACAATAGGTTCTTTAACAGTTTTGGCCAAACCTACTCCCAAGAGCTTGCTATACAGCAGAAAGCAGTGCTAGAGATAGTTTTTCACATGTTCTCAAAATCTACAAAACACTTAATAATTCACAAGACCAAACTGTAATGGTATTACAAGCTGAACGGTGTGTGGACAACACACAAAATCAGAGCAACGGATTCCCAATCAAGGTAAGTAGAGGAGAATTTTGGCTTATTAGCAACATCAAGGAGGAATGAATTCCATAAGAATAGCTATGAAATCCAGGATTCATACATATAACTGAGGCTGGATCAGTGGACAAGTTCAATTCAATACCTGAGAGTGACTTGCAGCCATTTGGGTTATCAGGTTGTATTTCATATCCATCTGTACAGAGGCACTTGTAGGTTCCATATGTATTGATGCATTGCTGGCTACACGGAAAGCCCAAAGAGCATTCGTCAATGTCTACACATGTTTTACCATCATCCTTCAGTTGAAATCCAGGCCAGCATTTGCACTGGAGAATGAAAAATTAGCATAATCAANGGAAAGCCCAAAGAGCATTCGTCAATGTCTACACATGTTTTACCATCATCCTTCAGTTGAAATCCAGGCCAGCATTTGCACTGGAGAATGAAAAACAAGCATAATCAATTTATACCATTGTCATTGTCTCTTCCTATTGGATATCCATTTAGCATGATTCAAGCAAGAAAATCACTGAAGAATAGATAATGCCAAGTTTTTCTATCCTGTAGCAATTAAACTGTCATTGGAATTACATATATGGTGTACAGCTTAAGTTTAAAAAGTATCCTCCCTAATATCTTCGTTTGACCTTCTGAGATTGACAAGATTACAAAAGTTAACTGGCGCCAATCAGCAAACCATGGTGGCTAGAGAATGGCAAGGAAAAACTAAATCATCAAATTCTTCTGTTTCTTTATTTTTGTATTATATCGAACTTTTAGAAGGCTGTTTTAACAACCATAAGGATTAACCCTTATATGGAGCTTAAAGTTTACTAATACTGTCACATATGTTTAATTTCATTAGAGTCTTACAGAAATCTATGATGTAGACACTATTACTAGTTAACCCATGAGAAACCTAGATGCACAAAGATGAAATTGTGTAGATAAAATCAGTTGGAGAGCTTGCTCTTGCTGTAATTTTTAACAAATATTAAGGCTCAATTAATATATATTGGCAGGGTCTGATTCCTTTACCAAACATGTTATTGCCTGGAGAGATAATAAAATTAACATAGTTTCTCTACTATAATTAAATCAATGTGTATCATCAGATATTTTTTCTTGGTATCTCTATCATGTTCTATAAAAACCTTCTGATGATCATGTGATACTTCCGAACTGGCATATCAGTTCTCAGTACAATGTCATGCAATGTATGTTTTTGCATTCCTGAAAATAATGAGGGGCTATGATTGGTCTTTTAGTTGTATATTCAGCACCTGCCAAGTAGCATATGGGAATCATAATTACATAAAATGAACTTATAATTGGTCANTTTGCATTCCTGAAAATAATGAGGGGCTATGATTGGTCTTTTAGTTGTATATTCAGCACCTGCCAAGTAGCATATGGGAATCATAATTACATAAAATGAACTTATAATTGGTCATACGATTATGACCATATTAACCTTAAGACTATCCTATAGCCTTTGAATAAAGGAACCTGTGAGTACTGAATAGGAGCATGAAATAGGAACTCCAAATTGTTAAGAAAAGCTAGCATTCATTATAAACATTTGAACCTATGTATCTATTTGCAAAATATTAGAGAGAGAGATGTGTGCTTACTATTAAATAATCAGCAAACAAATAATTGAGGGGTAGAATTTCAAAGTACAAAAAATGGTGTTCATTATGTGGAGAAGGAACATCAGCTTCACCTGAAAGTGCTCAAAAGATAAATGAAAAATGTTTCCAAGTCCTTTTACATAAAAACGAATCTCTTGAACCCCTTGGCACATTTATCTTCACTATTCATGCCGATATTTATTTAATAATTCTAAACCATTACAGAGGATTTTTTGTAATCTCCAGAATCCATTAGCAAGCCAGCAAATCAAAGCAAAAGCCACAATATACTTTCCCAAATTCTCATCAGATCATAGCTTGTGACAGTATTACTTTCCTTGAGAAGACTGATCCTACCACCAGATAAGGAAGTCAGGGAAATTGGTGCTTATGCTATGTCCAAAATAAAAAAAGAGAGTGTGTGTGTGAGGGAGAGATGCGGAATGTCACTGAAGTATAATTACAAATAGTTAAAATGGTAAATTCTAAGTTGTATATTTTACACAATTAAAAAAAAATTTTTTCAAAAAGAAATTGACAGTTGCAAAAAGATATCACTGAAACAACTGGAAATTAGATCATGTGATCATATGGAAGCCAGAATACACATAGGCAGACACAGTATAGAGTTGAATTCAAGGGGCACTTCCGGAAAAGTGAAAGAACATGTTATGGAATGCATTACATTCCTCTCAAAAGAGTAATCTATAAAGAAACAAATAGTGTCCCTATTCTAAAAGAGTTTTGGAAAATTACTTTGAATGGCTAATGTCAGGTTATAGAACTACCATACTAACTAGCTGGTTTGGATAAAAACATATTTATGGAAAATTAATTTCTTGAAGGTAAAATTTGTAAAACTTATCAAATGTAATGGACATTTCTATAAACAAAAGAAATTATATTTAAGAGCAAGTTTTTTTTAAAGTGTTTATTGAAAGAGATTTTTAAAAATTAATTTATTTATTTTAATTGGAGGCTAATTACTTTACAACATTGTAGTGGTTTTTTCCATACACTGACATGAATCAGCCATGGGTGTACATGTGTTCCCCATCCTGAACCCCCCTCCCACCTCCCTCCCCATCCTACTCCTCAGGGTAATCCCAGTGCATCAGCCCTGAGCACCCTGTCTCATTCATCGGAACTGGACTGGCGATCTATTTCACATATGATAATATACATGTCTCAATGCTATTCTCTCAAATAAAAAGATAATTTCCTCTCCAGTCCATTAGCCTAGTTTTACCAAAATCATTTTTACCCCCAAGTAATCAAAAGGCATTTAAGAGAAATTCTACTAACATGACTTTTATAAATTGCATGAAAAATTAATAATAATCATTTTTGTCCTCAAAGATAAAAGATTAAAGATTCATCTATATTTAATTAAAAAAGAATGGTTTAAAAATGTTTCACTTTCATTAAAAATATAATCTTTATGAAAGCGAGACACATATATTCAATGTCAAGTTAATATTCCTCATAATTAAGAACTATTTCAGATTGTTTTTTCATATTAATTTTTTAGAGAAACATATTACTAGAAATAAATATAGCTGTTCAAAGCTTTCCTATAACATTCAGAAAAATTTCTTTTCAGCTTTTAAAGTGATATTTGAAAATATTGATTATCTTGCATACATAAAATTCATTTATCTCCCTAAAGTACATTTATTTTCTCATGGTAAGTTACCCTTCGATCAAAATAAGATTCTTGCTTTTTAGTTAAGTGTTATTATTCCCTTTTGAATAGTTGGATCGATTGTATTTGTTTTACAGCAAATGTGCAAATTATTCACAGTCCAGAAGGTATACATTTTGCTTTTATAAGCAATTTTCATTTTATTGCATAATTTGGAGTAGAACTTGTCCTGTTTTGCTGATACTGTAATGAGAAGTAGTTTATGGTATAGTTTTCCCCATTCTCTGTAAAAGAAGAAATCCATCAGCTAACATTTTTTTCCCAAAATAAAGAAGTATTTTGTAATTAAGATTTTTTGTTCAATTTCCTATAAATTAACTGTCAGAAATATAACATATTAAAGACACATATTAAAATTACATATATAACATAAAAGTGTGATTGTGCTTAGTCGCTCAGTTGTGTCTGACTCTTTTGTGACTCATGGACCGTAGCCCACCATACCCCTTTATCATGGGATTCTTTAGGTAAGAATACTGGACTGGGTAGCCATTCCCTTTTCCAGGATATAGCATAAATATAACATATATATATATACACACACACACACATATATACATATATATAAACACAATATATAAAATATTTGCTTTGAATATTTGCTTAAGTTTCTTAATTATTATTCTCAGTTTTTTTTTCTTAATCTGTCTATTTTTAGTTGAAAGATAATTGCAATATTGTGCTGGTTTCTGCCACGCATCAGCATGGATGAGCCATGGATATACATACGTCCCCTCCCTCTTGAACTCCCCTCCTACCTCTCACTTTTTAACTGGTTTTGCTTCCCTCAGTAGATGTTTTATTTTATCCATTACATTAGTTTTGGCATGTGTTTATATTAGAGAGCATATACACAGCAATTTTATCAAGCATCATATACAATGACTTTTAAAATAATTTTTGTCTATTGTAACTCAAATTCTCACTTCATTCTATGACTCCTTCAGAGAAGTCAAACAGAAAATACTGATATTTTAAAGGTATCAATAAACAATTATTTCACTATGAGGAATCTTATAAAGTAATTAAAATAGTGTAATTTAACATGACTTTCTGGGTGAGAACTAGTTCTACCAAAAGTAGTTTTCCACATATGGGATCTTTAAGCAGTCAGCACTCTCTACATGTAGCCATTAAAAAATATTAATCCTTACTTTTGATGTTATGCCAAAGGGTGACCATTTCATATTCTATATTTTTTAAATTTTACCACAATATATATTGTTATGATAGATTAAAAGTATACATAGGATAAAAAATAAATCTACTTTGAAATTTAAATTTTAGACATTTAAATAGATGAGTGAATAGAAATGAGTGAATAGAAATGGATTATTATTTATAACATGACAAAATTATGGCCATTGCCTCTTATAATTTTACAACACATTTCCTGATTTGGGGGGAAACATTTCTGCATTGATTGTACATAAATCACCAATAATATTTTTTCTGCTTCATCAGGTTTCAAAATATGTACTACCAAAATTAATTATCTGATACCTACTCATCTTATTAGGAGCTGTCCTGTCTCATCTGTCTTGCTTCCTTCTACCCACCATGTGTGATGAGTCTGTGCATTTGTGTTTTAAGTCTTACGTGCATGTGTGGTTAGTTGCTTCAGTTGTGTAAGTCTTACAAGTTGAAATAATTCTTCTTAATACAATATTGGGTCTAAAAACTTTTAAAATAAACATAACTTTCTTAGTATTTTACTCTTTTAACATAGGGGAAATTATTATTATACTTCTTAGGTTATATCCATATACAGTGACCAATGTAGTTAATTAAGTTAGTCATAATAACAGAAATTCAGAGATTATAAATGACTGAATGGTTGTTTGGGTGATTTACCATTGGATAGAACTGATTGTCATAGAATGTCAAGGCTGGCAGGGAAAATGCCCAAGCATCTTTGTAATATACATTTTTTTTTCTTGCATCTTTTAAAGAAAGTCACTTAGTCTGAGATGAAACACTTAGACACAAGAAAGGTGACAAGTCCTTCCAATATAAAGAGTTCTGATGTTCAAAACATCTTCCTAATATGGAACAGAATCTGTTTCCCAACTCCTAATTCCAGCCTTTGAAACAACTCGGACAAGATATGCTCCCTCTTCCAGTACTTCAGATATTTATGTAGTTATTAATGTCATTTTTATTTATTTGACTCAAAATTATTTTTCAAACTTTAAAATGTTTATTTCGTATGAGTGTCGCCAATTAGCAATGCTGTGGTACTTTCAGGTGAAGGGCAAAGGGACTCAGCCACATGTATACATGCATCCTTTCTCACCTCCCCTCCCATCCAGGCTGGCAGGGGACATTGAGCAGAGTTCTAGGTGCTACACAATAGGTTCTTGTTGGATATCTGCTTTGAATACAGCAGGGTAGAATTTCATATATTTAAATACAGCTGACTAGCCATTTTGCTCTTGGTGAAATTTCTTCCAAAGGTGTATCTTCCAGACCCCTGATGCCACTGGATGCCCAAATGTGGATATAGTACAATTTGTCAAAGTTCCTCTTCAAGTGTGATGTTCCTAAATGTGCAGGTACCCCAGGTATGTCCTGATCATCACAGAATTCAGCAGAACAAAATTCTACTGACATCTGTACTACTCCTAACTAGATTAGATGGCCTCTGTGTTTCACTGGGGCCATGTCCTTTTGCTGATTCATACAGAGCTGTTGTCCAGTTAAAATCACTAATTTCCAAGTGAATTGCTTTTACTGAGGTTTTTGCATATTTATATAATTGATTTTAACCTAAAATACCACTTGAAGATTTAGTTTGTATGCATTCTCCATTTCAACATACTAAAATAGAGATGTTTTCTAAAGCTATTTCTGTCAATCAATTTTATCAGTGAATCACCTTCTTCAGGAAAGTGGTACCAATAAAAAGCAATTAGTATATTAGACATGATTTATCTTTTAGTGTACCTGCACTCAGTCCTAATAATTCATGTATTCTGTTTTTTTTTCTTCCTGTTTATTTGAAAAAAATATTGTGTTCTCCAGTGTTGTGATAAAATATAAATGATCAGCCCATTCTACTTCAAAGATATATGAGAGGGAAAATGAGGGAAGAAATAGGAATTTAAGAGAGCAGCATGCATATTTATCCAGCTATTAACAGCACTATCTTTATCAAACACTGACCTTTCTTGTCATTTTTTCTTTATGATCACCATTTATTAGAAATCTGAACACTGAATTTTTTGTCTTCATGATTATATTCTATTTATACACCACACTATTATTATGGTTCACTTGTATAGAAACTCTCCATTTAAATAATTTTAACTAACAAAATTCTAATAACTTTCAGTCTTACAGCTATATTGAATTAAATAATTTTTATTATCTCAAATTCTAACCTATCACGTGATTTTCTATTTTGGATAAGTACCTACCTTATAACTGACAGGAAGATCCTGACAATCCTGAGAACACCCACTGACCTTCTTACTCAAACACTCATTTATATGGCAGTTCCTCTCATCTGAGCCATCACCACAGTCATCCTTATTGTCACAAAGAGCTCCACTGGGGATGCACCTGCCATTTTTGCACATAAAAAATGAACTGTTGCATGACTGTTCTGGAAAAAGAAAATAAAACAAATGGAACATAAAGGGCATGCCATTGTTTTATACTGCAATTGCTGAAAACATTCACAAATATGATAACTTGTCAGTCAAAAATTATAGTATATATACATATATATAAAATGCTTTATATTCAGTGTAATATGGTATACACAAAGAAAATCAAGGGCAAACAGTACTTTCATGTTCAATACACTGCAAATATAGCTTTACATTGAAAATTAGCTATCAAAATGAGCATCAATAGCAAAATTAATGGAGTATTTCTGTCTTAATTTATATTGTGAAGAATGAGTTCAAAAGTGTAATGATAGCTTGACATTTCCCTCAAGTCATAGGTCTCTAAAAAATTGCATGTCACTGAAAATTAAGAATCTGGAATAGGTAGATACTCCTAAATTCCTTTTTTTTTTCCTGGAAATATAACATTGACATTTTTAAAACTGGGCATAAAAAGACACTTGTGCTGAATAATAGTTGTTTCAAATATAGCTATGGAAAGGAGTTCAGGTTTTGCAGCTATTCAAAACCTGATGATTTAAACATTACTCATTATAATACACGATACAAGAGTGCCTATTAACATGTAAACTATGTGAGAAAAAAAAGTAATTGGGTTTATTCTAAAATTTATAACTAGGTATTCATTCTTTGGAATGGTAAAGTGAAAAATAGACCAAGTTTAGCTACATATCTATTTTCCATTCAAATGATATGTAATTTATTTCATTTTGCCTAAGTTTGAATAATATTGACTTTATCTCAGTAAATCTCAACTTTTTTATGATTAAATGTTCCATTTAAAAGGTCCATACATGGACCGTAACCAAATAGGTCCATACATGGAAATTATCTTCACATTAAATAATACACTAAGAAAAATGACTTTCTTAAAGCAACAGGATGATGGATTCATCTGGTTCATTGCCACACATCTTCATATCTGTGGCACAGACTCACATTTCTAAAACTAACTCCAAAACAAGGTTGATTACCAAGATGCTTCTATTGCATGATGTCAGTAGAAGTATCACATAATTAATTGCATTTTCTCTCAGTGAATACCACATGAACCTAAAAATGAGTCACAGTATTGCCTTAAAAAATTAATTTTGGAATAAGCATAGTATTGTACACTTTCTGTACCTGCACTTGTACACTTTGGGTTTATAGGTGCCTCATCAGAATGGTCTGTACAGTCAAAATCTCCATCACACTGCCACTGACTATTTAAAAGACATCGCCCATCAGCACAGCTAAACTCTTCTGCATTGCACTGCCGGTACCCTGCAGGCAAAGAAACGTTTTAATTCACATAACAGATACTGATTAAAACTTCACTCATAATATGCACTCAGCCTAATTAACCGTGTGCTACCCAGGCATCTACGGGAGATATTTCTCTTTTCTTTCTAGGACAGTTGTAATAATTGCAAGAGATATTTGTGGTTGGAAAAATAGGATTAAAGACAAGAAAACAAAGTTGGAAACAAGGCACTCTTATTTTGTTTCTACGTAAGGAAACAAAATATATATTGCTAACAAAATATATATATATATATATATACACACACATATATATTTACATAGCAAAATATATATGTAACAAAAGTATATATATATAACTACATATATATATACACATAACAAAATTTATAATGAGTATATAATCTCTCTTCACTTATTGTCTATATCCTAAAGATTTCCCTTAGAATGGAAAACAAAATGAAAGCTATTCAAAATTATTTTCAAGACTAAACTTGGTTAGGTAGAATACTAGAACATATGGATGAACTGACTCTGGATTATAATGATAATTATCAGAAGCTATAATGTCATGTTTATGTTTGGGAAGAAGCACTGAAAGTGTAAAGAAATTGTTAAAATGAGAAAATTAAAAGCCAATTCATAGAGTAATAAGCAGAAACTATTGTAATTATTTTACATATTGATTCTTAGAGGCATTAAAAGGCTTTACTCAAATCACAGTATCAATCCATCAGTTGTTAATGTTCATATCTATGTCTGTTTGTAAGTAAAACTCATTTGATTTTAAATATTATGAAGCTTCAGATTTTATTTCTTCCTAAGTTTGTAAGCAATAAAAAAAAGTCATTTCTTTTGCAAACTTTCTGGTAAATATGAGCAAACATTTTACTTCTGAAGTGAGAAAATAAGATTTTTATGGCTTAAAAAATAAAATTTCAACAGAGAAAGCTGATCAATAGTAATTATTTACTTAAGATGTTTATTATACTGCATGGCGAAACTACATAGTTCTAAAAATATCCTCAGATTCCCTAGTATTTCTTTCCTCCTTCTCCTTCACTAGCTCTTCTTCTTCATGCAGTACATATGTTCAAGTCTCTTCCAGCCCAATAATAATAAAAATCTATCCATATAACTCTCAACAACAATGGCCCTTCTTCCCTGCTCACTCAAGTCCCTACTCAATCTTGCTTTCACTTACTTACCTCTAGTTCAAATTTTACTATTCATGTCTCATTTCTGCAACTTCCACCTACTGAAATTCTTCTTAGAGCTAACAGATTTCAAGTGATAGTTGGTAAATTTCTGTGTCTCTGGCTCCTATCTGCTTCATCTTCCTGCAGCACTTAAAGGTATTGTCTGTTCTACCTTGGAAATAGTTTTCGGACTTAATATTCATCATATATTCTCCCAGACTTCTTACTTTGCTTTTGCTATTTCCTTTCCCCCCTCTTTCTGTAAGAAGTTTTCTCCTGTCATACCCTAAATTGTTAGAGAGGAAGCCCTTATTTCAACCTTCAGTCTAGGGTTTTCCCCTTTTCCTTTCTACAATGACGGGTATTCTCATTCTTTGTCGTATTTTTGAATATCACCCTTATGTTGATGGTCACTAGGTTAATATTATGTGTCCTGATCATACTTTAGAAGTGAAATTTCAAGTACTCACTGTACAACTTCATGTGATTATCTGAGTAAGACTTCATATTCAAAATGTCCAAAGTTAATTATTTGTTACATCCTTCTTCTCCTGCATCAGCAAAACTGCCCCTTAACTTCATCCAAAACTCATTAATATCAATGCCATCCTCCCAGTCATCCGAGATAGAAATTGTACTTTACCCTACATCTGTAACTGTAAACGAATTCTGACCCAGTTCTCCATTTTCCATTCCATCATTTCTGCCTTAGTTCAAAATCACAGTGTTAATTATCATAACTATTATAATAAACTCCTAACAGATTATTTTCTCTTTATGGTACCTCTCTCTCATGGCACTATTTCATCCACTCTGCTGAAAAGGATGGTTCTAAAGTTCAAATTTAACTGTGATATTCCTGTTTTCAAAATGTGTGCTTGCCAAGTGAGGCAAAATAATTAAATACAAATTCTTTAACATTGTATTTGAGACTTCTTAGAATCTAAAACTTCTAACTCCAACTGACCTCACCAAAGACTAATTGCTATTCCACAACTATGTCAATTTATAGTTTTTGTAAACATATATAGGATTTACTATGTTTGGAAATGTTTTAAGCACTTTACAAATATTAATTATTTAATTCTCTTAACAGTGCTAAAAGCTAAATAATGTTACTATATATATTTTGCAGATAACGAAATTGAAGTGCAGGGAGATAAAAGTCACTTTTCCAAGGTCACACAGTTAGTAACTGGCAGAATCAGGATTGGACCCAGGCCATCTGGCTCTAGGGTCCATATTTTTAACAACTATGTCATGTTCTGTAGCATCTAAATATGATTTTCACTGACTAACACTCCCTGTGTCTGTTCTTTAGTGCCTCAAAAATTATTTTCTCATCTCTGATTTTGTATGTTATGATTCTTATTATTCCCATATGACTATGAATGTTATTATTCTATGTTGTACTCTTGATTTTTCTGTTCATCTGTAATTTTTTTTTCTAGTGGAATTTCTGTCTCATTCATTTCCATATGAACCAAACACAGTGCCTAGCTAAGGAAATACATTCAATCAGATATAACTCTAGTGTCAGATTTACATTTTGAGTTACGAGTTAGCTTTTAAAATATCACATTGAATCCATGACTTAATGGTGAATTGATACAAAAACTGATATCCACTGATCTCAAGGAGGTTTACATCAAAGGCCAAGGTTAGAGCCATTGGATGGGGAGGACACAGGAGGGAAACTAAATTATTGCCTTTCATAGGTATATGTGAATTTATTTCATGGATTTCCATTTTGTATTGATTCATGCATACATTTCAATATTTTACAAAAGTACTAGATTTACATAATATTTCAACTTCAACTGGAAATTTTTAATATACTAATTTTATCACAGAAGTTATATATGTGTTCATATACACATTATACACACAGGACAATTAGATAAATATATACGTGACAAGATAAATTTCAAAATAACAATATTAAATTTTAACAAATATATACATGTGCAAACAGACAAAAGGAAAATGTTAAATATGTATATTTTCTGATAGCTGTGTGAATTGTATGCTTTTTTTCTCACTAAAATATTTTATTCGGCTATAAGACTGAACTAGCCAGCCATACATTGTTTTTAAAGTACAAGGTACTTCACAAAGTTCTGAAATTGAAAGATGTTTTTACAAACATTTTCCAGTACAGTTCTTGTAAGAACACTACAACCATAGGTAAAATTTTCAAATACATGTGTAACTGTGGTAGAGTTTTAAGGGGCTATATGCAGTAGGTCTATATTACCAAATGTACATGCCCTTAGTGAGATTAAGAAATGTATTTACTTGTTTTTGTTAAAGACTGGTACTCAGCCTGAGAATCTTCTCCATGAAAAGCTCATATATACTTACCACACTGCAACGACTCATCAGAACCATCTCCACAGTCGTCATCATGGTCACAAACAAACTGCTTGGGAATGCATACTTTATTGTGGCACATGAAAGCATTTTCATCACATGTATTATTGGGAGCTAAGGAAGACATCAGAAAAAATTAATTTAGATGAGCACCTTCTTTATCTTTTCCTACATTAAGAGTTTGGGGAATGCATGTTCTCATTCTCAGTACACTCAGTAATTCCTGGTCATTTTAAAAAGAAACGTTAGCTAAACATTCAATGTATCAGATAAATTAACAAAATATATTAACATGCATATTTTGATATAAGTAGTATTCAAATATATGAATATAAATATGTATAATTCAAAATTTCAGTGTTAAATGTTCAACACTTCTAGAGTGACCTTGAAATTTCAGAACATTTAGCAATTTGTGAGTTTGCTGAAGGATGAATTTAAAGGTTCATATGTGATAAAAAAAATCACTCAACTCTGATAATGTGGTTGGATATTTTGTTTTCTCTCCCCATGGCTGCAGTAATGGTTGCAAGGTGATAAAAACCTTGCTTCTTTGTGAAAAATGGACATGAAAGAGCACCTATTGAAGGTGCTAAGCTCATGATGGAAGTGAAAAGAAAATCAAAGGGGCTAAGGAAGTTACTGTTTTAAGAGGAAAATAAAGCTTTGGGGTGACTTCTAGAGTAGGGTGTTGAAATAGGTTAAGATCTACAGTGAGATGAACCCCACCATAAGTACCACACCAAATTAGGAATATTGATCCATGAAACGGAACATGGATCCTTCTGGAATACTGATCCAAAAAAGCATTCTCTATCAAGGTCCCTAACCAGTGAGGAAAATGGTTGCTTAAAATGTGCAATAAAACTTGAGTAGAAGTCCAAAAGATACTGGCTTGTACAGAAAAATTGAGCTTTAACAGTATATGCATAGCATCATAGAGGTTTGATCATTTAACTATTTTTAGTTACCTTTCTTACACGTAAAGGGTAAATGTTATGATCTGACAAGCTTTGCAGTATTTCAAATGTTAAGATTCTGATATATGATAGATGTTAACTAAGTTCATTGTAGTAACCATTTTGCAATAAGATATAAATACATTAAATCAATATGTTGCACACCTAAAACTAACACAATATATAGGTCAATTATATCTTATTTTTTAAGTGAAAAAACAATCTATATGCAATTATAGTACACTGGAAAGAAAAAGACTTTGCAAAAAGGTGTTAGCACCTTAAATTTTTATCCTAAGTAAAGCTATTAATATTTACCTTCTTGGTACATATGTTTCATTATCTGCTTAATGAGGATAATAAAATTTATCTGATATATTTCTTGTAAGAACTAGATAAGGTATATGAAGCAGATCAGCTCATTTTAGATATTCAATAGGTGCTCTTACAATTCTCATCTACACAATTATTTTTGGCAGATCTCCAAAGGCACTTCACTAAAATACTATGGGAATTCAATAATGTCAATAAAAACATCTACCAAAATAATTGAAGTATAATGGGCACTTGAAAAAAATGTAGAGGCCTTCCAATCTGTCCCTTTCATGTCTTAACATGTCCTCTATCTTCAACACGCCTCTTTCTTCTCTATGTCCTTCACAACTCAGATAATGATACTGCTTTTCTTTCAAATCCTTCTACAAGACTGCTAGGCTTTTCTACACAATATTTATTTGTGATGACCTAGTATCTTTTGTATGTATCATTCTGACACTTAAGGTATTATCATTATTCTTTTATATGCTTATCAACTCCTGATCCTAAATCTGTCTCAGACTACATGAAAAAAGGAAACTGCTCTGCTTTCAAAACTCAGTGATGACTGAAAAGAGATATTAGCAGGTGAAACAAAAAGAATTATTTGAATTTAATCAAGTATAACATTTTCAACAAATGTATTTTCAAAAATGGTAGAGAAGCCACATATAAACAGAGCTAGAAACTGCTTATTATAATCAAAGTAAAACTCACTAACCAGTATTGTAACTTTGAACTGTGTGACAGCTTATATAACTCAAGTGAATTATGCCAATTCTAATATATGAATTATTCTTTAAAATGCTAAGCAACAGAGGCTTATTTTGCATTAATGCTTTCAGGTCACTTGAGTACAATTTGTTGTATTTTAACATAATTTAGTTAATAACACCTATGTGGTCCAAAAGTGTTAATATGCCTCCCAGAGTATTAACTTGCTACAATAGCAACAGTATGCAGGGACTATCTGGATCCCTGAATTGATGCATAATCCTTTATTATGTAGCCCTCAGTGGCCCCACTGACCTTTACAGACAAGTATCAGTTTTAAGATCAAAGTGATTTATTCTACAATAGTATGAGTTCTGTGCACACAAGCCTGCCTCAAAGTCTTCCTTTCCCTTTTCTGCTTTAATGATAACCCATATGCACACACCCATATATACATACTATTACATTACAGCTTCAAATACAGTTTTAAAGACCTGAAGATAGGTCATCTGAGAGATGACTAGCAGACTTCACTTTAATAAGCCGAGTTCATAGCACTCTTCCTAATACATTGCTCAGCTCAACATATCCCCTATGTGACCTTGGGATCTGCATTCAAACATCCAGGCCCTTCACTCTCTTGATCACACAAAGGAATTTATCTAAACTTTCACTACTGAGTAATTCCCTGAAAATTTCCTGAAGTGACCTAGAGTTAGAAACTTAGTAAATTGTCTGGCCTCCAAAGCTGTTCCTCTGCTCCCCTAGCTTCATTCAGCTATATCCATACTATTTTTACCTGACCTAAGGGTTAATATCCTATCTGTAGGACTAATAGGTGTTTACTGACCTTCTGGTCAGTAGTTATTTACGATCACAGCAGCCATTTACAGAGTATCTGTAATGGGCAATCTAAAAGCCTTCAAGGGGAGTGCAGGGTCGGGGAAGATACTAAAAAGAAAGTAACAAGCCCACCACACAAACATACATAGGGTGGTTACAGTATCGCAGAAATGAAGTGCAAATTTTTCACTCATCAAAAATGATTTTAAAATGTGTAATCCCACCGTGCATGTTGGAAACACTCTGAACAGTGGTGTGAAGGGTTGCTGAACTACTATGATTGACAGCATCCCACCTGATTAAATCTGATACTACCTATGAGTCCGGGGGTTGGGAAAGTGAGAGAAAGGGTGATATGGTGAGTACCACAGAAGTAAATATCTGAGGACGCTGCACAGCATTCTTTCCTAGAAGCCCCATGCATGCTCGTACCACAGCCTGCTGTGGAGAGTTCATCACTTCCATTTGGACAGTCCCGTTCACCATCACAGAGCCAGTGTCGGGGCACACAGGCGCGGGAGCCCTGGCAGCTGAACATGTCAGCCGCACAGGTGATGGCACCTGAAAACCACCAAAAAAAAAAAAAAAAGCCATTACGATCACACACAGCAGGTCCACTGAGAAAGATCTACCATTTATATTTCCAATAGATGAGAAGCAGAAGAATGTCACTGACAAGGAAGAAACTGGAGATTTTTGGGAATCACTGAGTATTATCCTTCCCCTCTGGATACTTCCCACTCAGAATGCATTCCTTCCCAATGTCAGTGGTAATTTAGTTGCTAAGTTGTGTCCAACTCGTTGCTACCCCATGGACTGTAGCCCACCAGGCTCCTCTGTCCATGGAATTCTCCCAGCAAGAATACTGGAATGGGACACCATTTCCTCTTCCAGGGGATCTTCCTGACCCAAGAATCAAACCTGCTTCTCCTGGGTCTTCTGCATTGGCAGGTGGATCCTTTAACAATGTGTTACCTGAGAAGACCATTCCTTCCCAATAGCAAGAATTATATTTCTTAAAGGAATATGGCAGGAAAATAAAATAAAAGCTATATGGCAGAAAATAATAATAGTATCTTCTCCTTGTAAAATGTAAAAAGCCTAAAAATGTCATAGAATTGTGAATAAATTGAGATAAAATTTCAAAAGGACTGAACCTATAAGGATAATAATAATAGCATTTTTATCACTTAATATATACTAAGCACTTAGCATATTAACTTATTTAATCCTCATACTCATAATCACCTAGAAAGGTAGAACTATTATTAGTTTCACATCACACAAAAGGAAACTGAGGCTCTGAGAAGCTGAAAGCTTGCAGGAAGTCTCAAGTTGCATAAGGAGTCCTGTGCTGAGCTGGGAGTTCAAAACCTTTTTGGTTCCTAAGCACCTTCTCTTAACCACTAAGGTCATTATTGTTACTCCCCACCTTATGTTGTTGAAAAGGATGGATGTATGCATGTACCCTTTGTTTTAGACACTTAATAAACAGAATCTATCTTTTCTTCGCTCTGTTAATTCAACATCCTTTTAATTGCATGATATTTTCAAATGTAATTTTTTTTTTGAAACCAGTTTCCACACAAAAAATTGCTGTTTACTGTACATTCAAAGGGCCTCAGGGGTTGCTCTTTGCTTTTCCTTCTATGGGCGTAGAATAATCAAGCAAAATTAGGAAATGGTTCATTCTCTTGATATTTACCTAACCCTGAGTACAGTTGAGCATATTGAATATGTTATGTATATAAAATATATAATGAGTGAATCGGTAACATGTCTCCCAAATCTAACTTCTCTTTAATTTCCCTTTCATGTGACCAAATAGAAAAGGTTCAAAAAAATAAGTTGTAAGAATTATTTTAAAAAAATATTAGTATCTCCAGGAAGAAAATATGACTGCCTAGATTGGTGAAAGACAATTGTTTCTAAACATTTAAAGCTATTTCTCTTGGATTATCAATTACCCTCTTACTTCTCAGTCATAGAGTTGTTATGAGAAGAAACTGCTTTCAATGCAATGTTTTCAATATGGGAGGATAGCAGGGTGACAAATTGAAACCCCTGCTGATCTTTTTCAACATAAACATGCCCATTCCTGACATACAGTTAAATTAGGAAGACAGGATGGCAAGTGAATGTTGAAAAGTCCCTCAGGTAATTCAGATTTGCTTATCTGATTGAGGATCAGTGCTAACAGAGTGAGATTTAGTATGATATTTATTACTGGAAGAAATTATAAAGAAAATCTATTAAACAAATGTTGCTTTAATTTAAAAATGAATTTACCTGCTACCTATTATATCTTTAATGCTTTCTATAAGAAAATTCTTTCCTTACAAAGTTAGTTTCACATTATTCCTCCTTTTTATCTATTTTTTAAGCTAGTCACAAATACAGTGTCACTTTCAGTATTAGATTCTCAATTAGTGCTTTAATTTCCATAATATTTTTATTATTTAGCTAGAAATGTAAAAAAAAAAAAATCATTCTTTCTGCTAAGGAAGTTTTGATACATTTAAAACTCCTTGTCTATTTTCTTATTACCACTTCAATTTATTTTCAAGGTATGTATAATAAATATGGCATTGATTTAAGTGTTGAGAACTTTAATTCTGTATGACCTTGCAGAAGACTAGTGTCTGAGTTTCACTCTAAAGTGAGGGGTATGACTAGATAATTACTAAGATACCTAAAACTATAAAATGGCATAAGGCTATTTGCAGCTAATTTTCTGGCTCCCTTGAAAGTGGTTCAACAGATTCTGTTTTAAGAGCATTCCAGAATATCATGGCCAATTAGAAAGAAAATGAACCAAAGAAAAAACTCATGGCTTCCTTCCATAGTTACATTTTCATCTGGAGACACACTGCCTTTCACAGGGAAATGAATCCCAAGGGGGAAGGAGAACAAGTAAAAGGAATTCTATCAGATCCATTTTGTGTACCTGTGCCGTGCTATGCTAAGACACTTCAGTTGTGTTTGACCCTTTTGTGACCCCATGGACTGTAGCCCGTCAGATTCTTCTGACTATGGGATTCTCTAGGCAAGAATACTGGAGTGGGTTGCCATTTCCTTCTCCAGGGGATCTTCCTGACCCAGGGATCGAACTTGCATCTCTTGATGTCTCCTGTACTGGCAGGTGGGTTCTTTACAACTAGTGCCACCTGGGAAACTCCTGTGTACCTGTTCAGATATAATATTTGATTGGTTTTATATCTGTCTGATTTTGTAAGTATTTTAGAAACTCTCCAATTTTGTACATATTTTAGAAATATGAATTCTGGTCCTAGTTCTGCTATCACTGATTCACTGAATGACCTTGGCAAATTTATTAACCTCTGTGAGTTTTTCTTTCTTCATCTATTATATGACAGAGGTGAACTAGACTACGATTTTCAAACTGAATCCTCAAATCCCAAGTTGGAACCACTATATACTTATGAAGAAAGAATATGTCTACATCATAATATTTTGAAGTGGGGATTAAGAATCTATTTGTTTTAACAACCTCTAAATAGGAATTTTTGTACACCAAAGGTTGAAAACCACTCAGATAATTTATTTATAAAGTTCCTTTCCAATTCTAAAATATTAAGTTTACTCATTGACTGATGCTTGGTTTAAAGCATTAATTTTTATGCAACAACAACTTGGTAGTATATAAACTGCAGCCTGTGTATATATTTAATACCCTGGGTGTTTTGATGACAGGTAAACATGTCCATTACCATTAAATCCTTAAAAAAAATTACCAGGACACTGATAAACACTGACACAGCAACACTATTCTGAAAAATAAGAGAGGGAGCAGAAACAAAAGAAAATGGGAACAAATTCAGAACAAAAGAGAATGGGAGTAAATTCATTTAGATATTACACATTGGCCATGTCAGATGATCATGATAATTGCATAAGGTAAATGTCTTGTAACCATTTAATAAGAAAGGAATTGGAGGAATAAGGAATAAAATGGACCACATGATTACACTGCTGGAAAATGCAGATGCAGGAGGATTCCACTCTCTGTCACTGTAGAATCTTTACCAGTTCCATTATGCTGTGTCCACTTAGAAAGCATAGCAATATCAAGGGAGCCATTTAATGTAGAATTATACAAAGAGTCAAAAGCAAGATAAATTTTAGAGACTGAAAATACACTCAACCTGTTGTAAGCTGGTAGTTAAAATTAAACAAAGAGCTCTACTCAATACTCTGCAATGTCCTATATGAGAAAGAATAAAAAAAAAAGAGTGGATATATTCACTTTGCTATAAACCTGAAACTAACACAACATTTTAAATCAACTATACTCCAATAACATTTTTTAAATAGAAATATTTAATAGCAAAGAGAAACAAAGTAAGTAAAATAGATTGGCCAGTCATCAGGTTAATTACTGATTTCTTTTTCATTTTAGAGGTCTTTGATAGTAATCTTTCTACATTTATCTTTATCTGTTGTATAACTAAATTGTTTTAGTTTTGTAAATAAAAAGTAGATTTTAGGTGGGTTAATACAGGAAAATAAATTGTCTATTTTCCAAGGATATCTCCAATTTTATGTTACATACAGATAACTTGATTTTAGAGTGAACATTATTAATCTTATATTCTTGTTTCCATGATAGTGACCTAAATAGAGGCCACAACTCCTGAAAATTTTAAAAATGTGTTAAGTACACCTTAGTTCATAATTAAGCCTTATTCTGACTCAGGTCCTTATCACTGTAAAATGAGGGTAATAATAATTATGAAATAGGATATAATAAGCAAAGAATATAAAGCTACAGGTACAAATACACATGTGGAAACAGATCAGAAAGATAGAAAAACAGATATACAAATAATTTAGTAGAACGCGTGGTCAATTATAATAAATTTATAAAGGTTAGGTTGCTTCATTTTTCTACTTCTTAAGAAATTCATTTATTCATAATTTGTTAAATATCTGTGACTAATTGAAAGAAATCACACTGACTTTGTAGACAATGTAGTTGATAGATAGTAAACATAGACATTTGACAGCATAACTTTAATCACATAAAGCTAAATTTTAAAGTACATTTTAAAATCACATATAGTAACCTGTTTCCTTACTTTCCATTGAAAACAGTTCAGCAATAGTGATTACTATAATACACATACACACACCATGTGTGACTTATGGCAATATAAGCAGGTATAATAAATTTGGAGGGGAACTTAGCAATATTAATCAAAAACAATGAAAAAGTTTTCAGTCATTTCATCCAAGTAATCCCAATCATTGTGATCTATTTGGAAGAAGTCACTGAAGACTAGAAATACAATCACTGTGTCAATATTCAGGAAAAAAATCTTAAAACCATATAGTAACTATATATATATATATGAAATATAGAATAATAAGTTGTTATAAAAATAATGAAAACAGTTACATTGTTACATTGAAGTGTATATACATATAAACCTCATATTAAGTTTAACAAAGTAGAATACAAAGTTCTCTGCATATTCTAAAATGACAGAGCATGTGTATTATACTCCTCTAAAAATTAGACGAGAACATGAAACAACTTACCACAAATGCTATCACTTTCATCTAATCCATCTTCACAATCATCCTCTCCATCACAGATCCAGTGTTTAGATATACACTTTTCTGTGGAACATGCAAACTGGTTCCAAGAACAAGAGGAATCTAAAAAATACACAAGAAGGTTTGTTTCAGGTGCAAAAGAAAAAAATGAATCATTAGAGACCATCTTAGGAAAGATCTGATAGTGAGGAAAGTCTTCTTTAGACTTCACTAGAACCAATCATTGGGGGCAGGAGAAGGGGACGCCAGAGGATGAGATGGCTGGATGGCATCACCGACTCGATGGACAGGAGTTTGAGTAAACTCCGGGAGTTGGTGATGGACAGGGAGGCCTGGCGTGCAGCGATTCATGGGGTCGCGAAGAGTCGGACACGACTGAGCTACTGAACTGAACTGAACTGAAAACCAGTTGTCCCAAATAAAAGAAGCCACTTTCCTCTTCTCTATGCTGCTGCTGCTAAATCGCTGCAGTCATGTCCGACTCTGTGCGACCCCATAGACGGCACGACCCCATAGACGGCAGCCCACCAGGCTCCCCCGTCCTTGGGATTCTCCAGGCAAGAACACTGGAGTGAGTGGGTTGCCATTTCCTTCTCCAATGCATGAGAGGAAAGAGTGTAAGTGAAGTCGCTCAGTCGTCTCCGACTCTTAGCGACCCCGTGGACTGCAGCCTACCAGGTCCTCCGTCCATGGGATTTTCCAGGCAAGAGTACTGGAGTGGGTAGCCATTGCCTTCTCCATGACAGGACTATAAAATTTTGACAATGGCTTGCATATTCCCTCTTAGTTATCCAGGTCATACAACATTGTTTCTTCAACATAATCTCATAGGATATGACTCCAAGTTAGTCAATATGCTAGTCACTCTTCCTAAATGTATTCCTGTCTTTTTCTAAGATGTAGGGTAAAAAAAAAAAAGAGAGAAGAAAAGTCCAGGTGTGGTATTCTTCTAACTTTTAGTCTGTTACTGAACAGTTGGAGAAAAAAATAAACTACATCATAGGCAATGTCACAAATATGGTGAACTCACCACCATACACATTTGTTTTTAAAGGTGACGTGACTCAGGGGGTTTTAGCTCTATGATAAGCTGTCAGTTTTCTATCTATACATACTTAACACTGTAATGCTTTTGTTTTTCACCCTTGGAAACACTTAAGTCTGACTAATAACATCCAGATTCATTGGCATGGTGGCTGGTATTTTAGTACCAAATTATGCATTTATGATAGTATACTTCATTTATTTACAAAGTTTGTGACTGCTCTCCTTCCTTTATCCTCAGTTCATTTATCACCAGCAAACACCCAAGAACAAAATTCTACTGAATTAGTACATCAAAATATAAATGACTATAAAATAAAATTTGACTTTTATCTTATAAACTTATTTAAAACTTTGTATTTTTATTTATTTACATACATGACCTGTGAAAAGAGTGATGTTTAGAAAAGCTGAAACCAGAAAAGTATTAAAGAAGATACAAATATATAATGGCTTCTGTTCCAGAAATCTTGAATCTATATAAACTATTGATAAAAGTTCTCTGTTAATCTTGTTCAGAATCTGGCTCTAATGTAAAGATATATAGCATCTTAATCAAACAAAATGCACTTTCATATTTCAGGATGATATTTACTTTTATGGGAGTTTGACTTTTCTTAGACAATCATTTTTAATCCTTTTTTCCCACTCTGTTCACCCTGGTGTATGTTATTTGAGCTAAATGAAAATAGAGAATTATATGCTTTTAAAAAAATTGGCCTGGATATCATAAAACTCATAAACTAACAAAAAACTTAAATATTTTCTTACCTTGCCAAGTGAAATGAAATGTACGCAAACAGAAATTGGGAGGTGAATGGGGAGAGTTTTTTTTTTTAAGAAATGCAAGTTTCAGTTTACTATTTAAACCTATACATGTAATGAATAGAAACATTTAGGATAATAATAGTCAATAACAGGTAGGAAGAATATAATGTGTTGTGTAAACTAAATCCTTATTTTTCACAGCAGGAAGTAAATATATTAGCATCTAAATTAAATAAGTCAGGAAATGAAGGTATAAATATATCATTTAGATTGATGGAGGTATACACTAGCAAAAACAGAAAAGGTTAAAAGAAAAGGTTTGATGGGAGATTATTATTCTCCATTATAAGCTTTTCTGTTCTGTTTTAATTTTTTACCATTTGTGTTATTTCATAAAAATAAAACTTGATGTTAAAATTGATTAGCAATATTTTGTGTAAAATTCCTATGTAAGGTAACATCAGTATATAAATGATAATATAGTTTATAAAAGTAAAGCAAGATATAATGTCTCACCACAGTGGAATTCATCAAGTCCATCCTCACAATCTTTCTGACCATCACATACCCAGGTATTCAAAATGCATCTTCCACTAGGACAACCAAAATAATTTTCTTCACATTTGTGTTTGTTTTGAACTGTGATAAAATATAGAATGCAGTGTCAAATAAACTACTGTCAAATAAATAAATTAAATGTCAAGTAAATAAATCTTAGACATCTACATTGCAGATAGATATCAAGACAGTAATATCCCTTAAACTGGAAGAGATAACTAACAAGAAAACTTAAATAAAAAAGAGCTGAGAGGTTCTTTTAAATAATATCCAGGTCATGAAAACCAATAAGAAATTAAAACTATGGAACAGAGGAAATCAGGGAGACATGATAACCAAATCCCATCTAGGATTGAATCCTGGATCAGAAGAAGGATATTAATGGAGCAAGTGTTTAAATACAAATAATGTGGAGTTAACAAAAGTAAAATAAAGCAACTGAGATGACTATAAAATAAGTAAACCTAAGGCCAAAGTATCATTTTATGTGGAAAATATTCTTAATTCCATACTCAGAAAAAATAAATTACAAAATTATTAGTAGGTTTTTGCTGAGCAAGTGTAAACTTCATGTTCCACTCTTGAAGAATACATATGCTTTGACAAGATTTATATAAGTGTACTCTATTTTAGCTTCTTCCTGGTGGTCTAGTGGTTAGGATTGGTGCTCTCACCATCAGGGCCCTGGTTTGATTCTGGTCAGGGAAGTCTTCCCTCTTCCTGTGCCCTTGCCACCTACCAACCTCCTAGGACTAACCATACCACCTTTTGGGGCTTCCCTGATGGTTCAAATAGTAAAGAATCTACTTGCAATGCAGTAGACCTGGGTTCAATCCCTGGGTTGAGAAGTTACCCTGGAAAAGGGAATGACAACCCACTCCAGTAGTCTTGCCTGGAGAATTCCATTGACAGAGGAGTCTGGTGGGTTTACAGTCCATGGGATTGCAAAGAGTTGGACACAACTGAGAGACTAACACTTTCATTTTCTATTTTAAGGAAGAAGAACAAGTTGCAATAGAATCTCTGAAATTGTTCTACCTTAAAAATTATCATGAGAATAAAAAATATCTATATAAAATTGTTTTCTATATTATATATTTTTCAGACTATGGTATATTGTATTATTATAACCTACAAGAGCACATACAAAATACTAGAGTTTTCTCTTTACTGGATATCATTGGTCTCCTTGCACTTTCAGGTTTACATAGCTTTAGAGTGATTGACTCACAGCCAATCAGGCAGTAAATATTAGAGTATACTTGTTAATCACACTACAGTGATGCGTGACTATTTTAAGATAACAAAAATTACCTCCATTTTATTTTTTAATACCAACTTTGTAGATCTAATTAAAGATGAAAAATCACTTTTGAGGGAGTTCAATGATGGCTCAAATGATAAAGAATCTGCCTGCAGTGTGGGAGACCCAGGTTAGATCCCTGGGTTGGCAAGATCCCCTGGAGAAGGGAAGGCTACCCACTGCAGTATTCTTGCCTGGAGAATCCCATGAACAGAGAAGCCTGGTGGGCTACAGTCCATGGGGTTGCAAACAGTCGGGCATGACTGAGCAACTAACACACACACATACATAATGAAGAATAAAATTTTATTTAAAATAATTTGTAGAGGATTTGCCGCAAGCTGCAGTTCAGTGCCTCCTGAGAAGTTCTCCAGTTCTTCCTAGGACATAGCGAGTCTTCAAACCCAGAAGGAACATCATAGAGTGTTACACATACTGATGACCAGGAGAGGAGGAAGGGANGACAGAGGATGAGATGGTTGGATGGCATCACAGACACAATGGACATGGGTTTGGGTGGACTCTGGGAGTTGGTGATGGACAGGGAAGCCTGGCGTGCTGTGGTTCATGAGGTCGCAAAGAGTCGGACGAGACTGAGCAACTGAACTGAACTGAGCAGACCTTTATGCAGTAATGATAACTGTTGCCCATATTACTATGCTGAAAGATTATGTAAGCTGCACCAAATAGCCTAGGATGACAACACAAGCATGATACAAGTAAAGCCAGTAGTGAGAAACTTAGTCCCCCTCTCTTAGTCTATTGATAGTTTTCTCTCAGTATATACCACTTCTATGAAAGCTTTATAAATTACACATTTTAAGATGTTATCACCAATGTTAAAAGGATTAACAAAGAAATGAACTTGAAAAAGGAAATTGATCCAAATATAGAACAGATTTCTTGAGTATCATCCCATAGGTCATAAAAAAATATAAAGTGGTATGTTTAAATGATCATTTTTAATTTAGTCTACAACATTCATTTTAATCTTAGCCACTGAATATCAAGAATGAAAATTAATAAGTTTGTGCTATACAACATAAATCTTCAAGGCAAAGACTGTTCTTTCTAGAATTACCTGGGCATTTTAATTCATCTGAGTAATCTCCACAGTCATTAGACCCATCACATATCCAGGTTGGCAGAACACACAGTGAGGTAGAATTGCATCTTATGAACCCTGTGGTTTTCACTCCAAGTTTATAGAAATATGTACAGTCTGTATTATCTATAAGGAGGTAAACAGAAAAATGAGAAACACCTCATCTGCATGAGCCTTTTATGTAGGTCACAGAAACAAGAAATGCTAACCTCATTTGAAGAAGTAAATATGCAATTATCCTACACCACAGGGGTTAATTGCATATCAGTTCTGGACAAGGTTCAGTGAGGAGTTGGACACTGTTCAGTGAAATGCCAAAGGTGCACAGGCATGAACAAACAAAAGGTAATGGAATATCTTACTGCAGTTCTTTTCATCTGAAGCATCTGCACAATCTATGTTCTGGTTGCACCGTGCTGATCTCGGAATGCACGTCCCATCTGTACAGCGGAACTCAATAGCAGCACAGGTTGAAACTAGAAAAGTAGGTAAATAAATAAATAGATAGATAAGCTAGATAATGATTCCTTGCTTTTAACATTTTGAGTCCTTTAATTCTTATCATTTTGCTTGGTTTTGCTTTTTAAACTCTGGGCAGTTGAACTTGACCCATGACTCCCAATCCCAAGCTTGGGCTAGATGCATCAGATATTCTCCCCTGTCACACAGTTCTTCCCTACATTGTGATACTTATGATACTGCATTGCAATTGCCTGCTTAGATATCTCTCCCCCCATTAAATCGTAAGCTCCATGAAAGCAGAGGCCTATGTCTTATTTTACCTGATCATTCCATTTCAAAACTAAGCTGACAAACAAACAAAAAATAAATAAATAAACGCTGCTAAAATGCTCTTTCCTTTCAGCTTCAAAAGTACAAGGTTATGGCTCTAAGCAAATGCCTGAGCATGTACAGAGAAATACTAACTTGTTTGCTAAGAAGTGGAACGTTCCCTACTATGATAAAAAGAGATGGACAGAGGGACAGAGACTGAAGAGGAAATCACTGAGTGTTTTCTTTATTACTCAAAGATGAAATAGTTCAGCACTGCTAGAAAGTCATCATACTATGTTATTCTCCTTTATATGCCACATCACTAACATTTGGTGTAGGAAATATGGATGCCTCACACCAAGAAGCACATAAATGTGGTATGACTTGTTTCTGTTATTGGAAAGTAAGGCTTTCCAATCCCCTGCTATGCTTAGATGAAAATAAGTTTTGATATGCTACCATCATTATATATTCTTTGTGCAGAATTGCTTATTCTTAATCATATATTCCTTTCTACTTTGCTTACACATTCATTACCATATAATGTTTTCCAGCAATATGTTGTGAACAGGTGCATGGCTTGCTTTGTGTGTTAGATTAACTTAGGTGAGAATTTTATTCCAAATTCAAATTTCCACAGGTTGATTATGTTAATGAAGAACCCGAAGGGCTCTCTGATTATGCCATTTTTACTAGTGTTGATACTCTAAAGAGCCTATTTAATTATAAATATAAATTATATCAATTGTAAATGGTTAAAATGCTATCTTAAAATATGCAAATTTTACTCAAGGGTATGTATGTCATTTGTATTTCAAAATGCACTGCTCTTATATTTAATTGTATCTTGCAATTGTATCCTTATTTGTGTTTAAATGATGATTAGAATAAATGTTTTATTTACAATTTGCAATTATAATTGCTTCACTGTTTTCTTCATTAAAAATAACATCTTATCATGTGAAAAGATAATGCCATTATAAGATGAGATAAACACATTGTTTCAAAGAGGAAAAAAAATAGATTTTTTTTTTACGCTAAATAAAACAAATTCTCTTCCATATTCTTTTCTATTTCAGTTTCAGTTCAATATTTTTCCATGGAAATAGTAAATGGCAAATGGAATACATAATTTAGAAAATAATCATGATAAGCATATGCATTTTGCTTCTGACTGTGTTGTCTTTCAGCAATCTCCTATTAAGAGGTTGTGTTCCAAAAAATTCCTTATGAACACTATATTTCAGAATTAATTTCTCTGTGAAACAATATTCTGGATAGTGGTAATATTCCTAATCAAGTTTACAAAGATTTATTGCACAATGCACTTAAAATTTTATCTATACTTGCAGTTAGAGTTTGGGATGCTAGAAATCCTAATGCTGATGTACTGGGACAATCACAGTCCACTCCACCATCTCCATCTCCCTCCAAACTTCCACATATAATCGTCTGTGTACATTGCATGGAGTGCACCTGAGTGGATATTGGTGGCAGATAGAGAGAAGAGGGCAAATCATGACTCCATGAACAGGGAGATGGCATTTCAGAGAGTTAAGAGGACTGGAGTTTCAGGGACTTCACAGTAATGGAGTTTCAAAGTAGTGTTGGGTGCTCCAGGTGGAAGCAAGTGTAAAGAATGGCTAATGAAAAGAGTGGGAACGTGGAGCAATTAGAACATGGTCTTGGATAGAATTCTGGGAAGAAGAAAAAATAAACAGAGGAACTCTGATCTAACTAGATGAAAAGAGACTATAACTTTAAAGTTGAGAAGAGTGGTTAGAAAATAGTATTTAAGAGAAAGGAAGGGGAAAATGAGGTGGGGGGTCAGGAGAACTGGAGAGAGGATGAAATACTTTTTCTCCCATTTTTTTGCAATCAAAATTAGGGCTAATGAATCTTGGTGGGGAGGGCTAAGAGAACATATTAGAGCATGTGAGATGTGCACATAGGAACCAGTCGTGCCTTCACTCCTAATCCTATCTCCATAGATTCCATGACTTGATGTAGAGTTTGGGAATAGCTAAAGGATTATGTAGGGTGATAAGCTGTATTGGAATTGGGCATGTTAAGTAGTTACACAGTTCCATAAACAGCAGGAGCAAGGTGGATGAGGGGATTAACATCTCCAGCACTTGAGGACAAGAGAGTCGTAGAACAGGAGAAATCCATGGTAATAGAGAAAGCATCACTTAATTAGTAAGCAAAATCTGCTTGTGCCAAAACCTCTTCCTTTCTATTCCCTCTACCATATTCTCTTCTATGCTGTTTTGGTCAGTCAAGTACTGACATTTGTTTCACCCTAGGGTGAGTTTGAGGGAAAAAGATAATGGGATCTTTAATTTGTCAAGTGAATATGAAAAGTTTCTGATAACTTTTCTTCAGGCTAAAAGTTCTGGAGAAAAAGAGAAGAGAAAATAATGTAGTCCAAATTAAGGTAAACTGGTTGAGAAATACTATACTTTTCCCTCCAGATAGTGCCAAAAAAAATTTTATAAAGCCTACAAATTGTGAGTGACACCAGGAATAGCAGTGAGACTTTACAAAGGAAGATCTGACAAGTATTGTGGATCAAAAGTAGTAGCAAGAGAGAAAGTAAAAGAACATACTTTCTTCCCTTCATATACTTTCTTAATTCTCCTATTTAATCCACTTCCTTCTCTCCATGTTAGTTAAACTATTTAATTTTATAGCAAAGATATAAAACTGATTTGTCTTCCCCTGGTTCTTAGGACTATTTTATAACTAAGCTAACTCACTGTTTGTTTTTCCAACTTCCATGCCCAACCTGTAGCAAAGGGGAAGCTGACATGGAAAAAATATATTAAAAGCACTGTCATATCTCTGCTGTTTACTTTCAAACCACATCTTTTATTTAATATACTGCTTAGGCTCCAAGGGTAGGTGAACCCAGAAAGAATGATTTCTCCTCCAGGTAGGGTTTCCTTTTCCTTTGGCTTGTTGTTTGTGGAATCTTCAAAGTTTCCCTATGAATTTGGGGGAAAACAGAACAAAACAAAACAAAACACCAGCTTCCTCTCCTCTAGGTTGCCTTAGAAGTGCTTATTTCTCCAGTCCACCTAAGGTGTTCAGGTGGCCCAAGGAAGTTCTTTTCAGAGGGAGTGCATTCATCTCAACAGGGAGCAAAGGAGGGATATTTTGCAATCTCCACAAATCTATTCACTCAAACAGAAGAGGAATGAAGACAAACTTTCTGAACAACTCCTCAGATCCCCACCAGACAGCTTGATGTCTAAAGCTCTCAGTTATGAAAGGAATACTACAAAGAGGCAGTAATAAAAGATTGATGAGGATTTGGGGTTTCACTTTGCTTCCGAAGACAAGAAACCAAAAATAATTCCTTACAATATCTATTTCCACAAATAGATTCTTTGACTATATGCCATTAAAAAAATAATGTTAATTGCTATTAACATCTAAATTACACATACAAAACTGTAATAGTACTTCAGAAAATTCACAGATGATTCCACCGTAGCTTTTCTCCAAAGCCTATTAAAATCTCTCTATATTTACTGATATTATATTGTACCACTTAAATTTTGTAATTTTTTACTTTACATTAAACAATAACATATGATTTGTGTGCATGTACATATATACATACAACAAAGTACTGTGTCCCCAAGTTGCAATGATTATAGAAAAAGGGAGTGACTAGAGAAATAATTCTTTTTTCATTCTTTCTAAGCCTATTTATATTCCTTTTCCTTCATGATCTCTTACATGCTGTACGTGTCCATGTGTTTGATGGACATACATCTGAATCAATGCTTTATAAGAAACTGGCTTATGGAAAAAGTACCCAAATTAGTATTTCCCCTGTGGCATGAAAAAATACCATGTGAACAATCTTAATATGAGAGGAAATCGAATCTAAAAGATGAAAATGTAATAAGTAAGCTTTCATCTAAAAAGCTACCCATTTGTTTATCCTACAGAAGCTAGACCGTTTACTTAAATCTGTTAATTTATAATATGTAACACAGCATCGACTTGCACATGTGTAGTTTCAAATGTACTACATTATATAGGAAGAAGTTCAAGGCATACAATTTTGTTGTTATTGCTTCACAAGATATCCAATTGTCATGATCACTACACTATTACTATCACAAAATAAAAGTTTTGACAGAAACTTCAATCTCAAACACGGTAGTTCTGTCTCCAAGTATATGGCTGAGATAGTTATAACACAGAAATTAACAGTTTAGATTAAAAAGGGGGAAATAGAGTTTTGAGTTATTTATATTGTTATTCAGCTGATACTGATGTCATTAAACAGAATAAAACCCATCTATACTTTAGAAGACTTATGGTTTCAACCAGCCACATAAGAGTTTAATAAACACCTACCATGTACTGGGTACTATATTTCATAAACCCAAATGCACTAGTTTGCTTACTGCTTTTTAAAATAAACCATTTTCCAAGAAAATCCACAGTAACTTATTAAATTTACATGGCTTCTTTTGCCATGGAAATTTATATTAAAATCTACTTTATGTATCTATTATTCAGTTCCTTCACATTCTAGTTTTTATCTTTTAATTTTTATCCCAGCTTACTGTTTTCATGATAGTCTTTCCACATTGCATAACTAATACAACATAGCCATTTTGGGGGTTTCTTTCTATTTTTCTGTCCTTTCTTCCAAATGCTTATCTGTTTCCCACCACTAACTACCAATGTCTGACAACAATTTATCAGTTTTAGTCTTTTATAGATAATATGAAACCACAGTTAACTTTCAAATGTACTTGGCTCTTCTTAAACTACAATATCAACTTAGATGATAAGCTTCTCAAGTGTTTGGCCAAGATCATACACTCTAAGACAACAGAGTAACTTCTTAATCCTTCATCAGCTACAAAATAATTTATACACATTCTACCTTCTTCCTTAACTTTTTATTGTCTTCTCATTACAACTGCACTTCATACATCTTTTCTCTACCATCAACCTTTTTAAAAATAGTCTGAATTCACTGTCATTACTCTTTCACCATTCATATTTGGCTCAATCCAGTGTGATATGGTATTTCCTTCCCATTCCACTGAACTGACTCTTGAAGGTAACCAAGAAATTATTATCTATTTGCCAAGTATAGTGGATTTTCCAGTCTATGCCTGCCCTCTTGTCTTCTCTGTAATGCTAACTTATCCTCCTTTCTTTAAAAAAATAATTTCTTATGAAGCTCATTTTATTGCTCTTGTGGTATATGTTTCATTTTTATATTAGTGTCTTCAATTTTAAATCCAACAGGTCATTTTGATGCATTCTCCCAAAACAACTCTTACTTCATACCTCTTTTGAGTTCTCTCTCTTTAAGAAATCCAAGATCAATTCTTCTGATCTAAACCTACTATCTGAGCTCCATATCTCTGCTTATATATATAACCTTTGAACAGTCCCATTTGAATGTTTATAGGTATCCCAACCTCAGAATGTGGACAATTCTTATTATCTTATCCCTGTTTCATACAACAAAAGGCATTTAAAAATTAATGAAAACAAATAATATTTTAAAAGCAGACAACACACACACACACGCGCGCGCGCCAAGATGCTTCAGTCATGTCCAACTCTTTGCACGGACTATAGCCTGCCAGGCTCCTCTGTCCATGGGATTCTTCAGACAAGAATACTGAAGTGGTTTGCCATGCCCTCTTCCAGGGGCTCTTCCCAACCCAGAGACTGAATTCGAGTCTTTTATGTCTCCAGCATTGGCAAGTGGGTTCTTTACCACTAGCGCCACTTGGGAACATCCCCTCTCACCCCCACCAACACATGCATATCCTCTATGCCCATGTTTCTTACCCCAAAATACCTGTTATGCTACCATTTAAAATGCTGTTATATCTGTCTTTCTCCTCTTTATTCCTAGCTTTCACTGCTGCAACATTCTTCTATTTTGTCCTTCTGGTCTCAGTATTATAGTTTTAATTCTAAAAATCAGTTGTTGTTTTTCTTTCCTTTTTTTTCCCCTTTCTGGTGACTACAAGATAAAGTTCATGTTCTATAACATGACACCAAAAAACACCATCATATCCCAGTTCCTTCTAACTCACTTCATTTTTGTTGACATTCCCCAATATGCAATCTGGCTCTAAACATCAAATTACTTTCAGTTTTCAATTTTGGTCCCTCCACTTGGAATTCCTTTGTTTTGAAATCATTCTACTGCTTTTAGACTTTGAGTTTAGTCTATGAAAACTTTCAAGTTTCAAATTAAAAAAAAAATCTTAATAGTGCAATCATAGCACCTCATATTCATCTTTACCTACTTAAATGACTATCTTTCACTTAGAGTTTGATCTAAATTGAGGACACACACAGAACTTACAAATTTTATGTCTCTATTCTTAAAGAATTTCACCCAATAAAGTATCTTCAATAAATGGAAAGATTTTTAATGGGGAATTGGTTTGGAAAGAGCTGCTGAGTCCAGATTTTAGGAGACCATAAATATCAAACTAAAAACTTGTCACTTGTTCTGCAAACATCGGGATTTTTTACCTATGGAATAATAATAAAAAAAAAAACAACTAAATTTTTACATAGCATTTACTATATGCCATGTTCTGTTCTAATACTGATACACTTATTTAACTATTGTTTCTTTTCTTATTGTTTGGAAAACTGAGGCCCCAGTTGGTTAAGTACCTTATCCAAAGTTTCACAGTTAGTGTTAGGGCTGGGGTTCTAATCCAGGTAGTGTGGCCCCTGATGTGTTCCATGGTAAAATTTTAAATTTATCATGGTAAAATGTTAAATTGTGTTAGCATGACTAAAAATTCAGATTTATTGGAAAGAGTAGCAATCTTTCCAATTGGTTTCCAAAAGGAGATCAATTAAAACGCTGTTAAGCTCACTCTGTTAAGCTAGGCTCAAAGTAGACTGAAAGGGAATATATTTCAAAGAACTGGAAGGTTTGTTGATGATGGGGCATGTGGCTAACAAAGCATGCTGGAAGGAGGAACAAAGAAGAATACCAAGGTTTCCTTTCCAATAAGTGGGAAAATGAAGAGATCACATGTAGGAGACAGGATTAGGGAATGAAGGGGAACATTTTGGAGCAGTAAATTCAGTATTATACCTTCTGGTAGAAATGTCCCAAATAGGGAGGTTGAACTGAAAAGGTGAGAAAGAATCTTGAAGTGAACAAAGAAAGAAGTAGAAACTGGAAATAGAAAAATGGTCATCAATTTTCAATTGATTCTAATAACTCTCTTCAACAGCATTGACCCTAGTTGTTAGTCAGGGTTATATATCAAAAAGGTGAAACTCCAGAACTCTCAGGAATACACTGCGGAAGAGTTTGGGGAGCACTTAGCGTGATGATATCCCTAGGCTGACGTGACATGCGTTTACCTTTACAGTCTAATTCATCAGAGCTGTCTCCACAGTCATCGTCGCCATCACACAGCTTGCCGTGAGGAACACAGCGACGGTTGGCGCAGGGCTTGAAACCTCTTCGACAACTTCTGTTTTCTTACATGGAAAAGTGAAAACACGCACTTGGAGGGCTTATAGCAATATTGTTACAAAAAGAAGATCACAGGGAAGATCTTGTTCACAATAACCAGATTGTGCATCTAAAGAACAGGTGCTGTGTGGTATTCAAGTTCTAGATTAGAATATCTATGAAAAAACTCTTTTTGACTACTTTAACTTTAGTGATTCATACTGGGAGATCTCGTCAAATTATACCCACTTTATTGCTTCTGGCATTTACTTCAGGTAGGACAGAAATAAACTTATATCACATATTCATTTCTGAAGAAATGAATCTCTACCTCAAAAGTAATAAAGACACTCCAGCACCTATCCCCTATCTCCTTTGCACCCCACAAGTCTTTTAAACCAAGAAAAAGAAGTGTCAAACAAAACATTTATTCCTGAATCAGTGAATTCAAGAGTGAATTCAATTTATCCATAAGTTTCTCTTAAAAAAATCATCTTAAAGGACCTACTAGAATTTTTGAAGCAGAAGAATAATTGCCTTCTGAAATCTGTTTACCTTAATAAGAATCTCCTGACATTTTCTGATTTGGGGCAGAAGGTACCACCCACAATAATAATAGCTGCCATTTACTGAAAGCTTGTTTTGTGTGAGGCTCTATATTGAGCATACATAAATATATATATATATATTTATTTAATGTTCCCAACCACCATTCCAGCTAGGTTTGCTTTGTAGCGTGCCGTGTTGTTCTTAGTCTCTCAGTCATGTCTGACTCTTTGAGACCCCAGGGACTGTAGCCCTCCAGTCTCCTCTGTCCATGGAGATTCTCCAGGTAAGAATACTGGAGTGGATTGCCAAGCCTTCTGCCGGGGGATCTTCCTGACCCAGGGATCGAATCCAGGCCTCCCGCATTGCATGCGGAATCTTTACCAGCTGAGCCACCAGGGGGGATTTGTAGTGAGAAACTGAAATATAGGAGACGTAATGGCCTTTCCTCATACTAGTCACAAGCTAGCAGATTTGGGAACAAACATTTAAACCCAAATGTGATTCTAAAATCTGGAATCTGAAATTGTCAAACTATAGTCCACAGGCCAAATGCAGCATGTGAACCTGATTTTGTCTGGCTCTGGAACTAATAATGATTTTTACATTTGTAAAAGATTGTTTAAAACACTAGAATATGCGACAAAAGCATATATGACCCACAAAACCACAAAATAGCAGCTTACCCTTTACAGAAAAAGCTTGCTAACCCTTTTTCAGACAAATATTATCTGCCTTCTAAGAAGATAAAAATAATGTGAAATATATTCTCAAGCCAATTCATAATAATGTGAATTTGTAAGCTGATTATTTTCACATTTTTATATGCTTTAATATTTTCATGATGTACAGGACATAGCTACTAATTCTGGTAAATGCATCATTTGAGGTAAATTCCCTAAGATTTAGTTACATGTTGATTACAGACAAATTACATTTGACTATCATTTTAACCAAGGATGTTTACTCTGTGATGTAAAAGAGTGAAAAAACTTGTGAATTTCCCAAAATCCACCTTACTCTTGTTATAACTTTCTTTGACCAGAAATAAAACAAAGGAGAAATACAGAAGCCAAATACAACAATTCCAGATATAGATACCTAAATTTTGAAGAGCATATAATACCAGTACTATACAGCATAAAAATAAATCAGACCAGTTTAGAAATATTCTGGATCAATTCTACATCAACTATTAGTGATTACATAGATGCATGCTTTTGGAAAAAATATTGTTGAAATGAAGGCAAGTAACAGTTGCTTACTATAGAGTCCAAAAGCCAGTTTATATTTCTATGGGAGAGGGAAAGGTCGACTATCATTTGGTGTCAGCTACAGAGGCACAACTGCGGGAATTCCATACTTAATGGACACCAGGGCTAAAGCAAGTAGCCTTTGTATCTAAGGACAATAGCCCTGGGATAATCCTAGAGGCAAAATTATTTAGAATGAGTAAGACTGTGATACCAATACAACAATATGCTATTGACTCTTGGTGGACGTTTGCTGCAGGGTAAACCCGCAAAATCCAGTCAATAACTAATACTTCTGACATCTTTAAATGTAATCCTAAAACCTTTTGCTAATGACGAATAACTAGGCAGTGCAAAACAGGCTCCTGTGTATTTAAATTTATACTTCAAACATGGAAACTATGAGGAAATTCTTCAATTAACATCATGTATATTGGGTAGGAAATGCGGTGCCCAATTTGAATAAGAATAAGCCAAATCAATTGTTAATCTACATGTTAATGAGAGGCAGTAAGAAAATCATACACACAAACCAAATGGAGACAATCTTACTAAAAACTATAAAAATAATTGCAAACATCTCTGAAATGAGAAAATCGAACACTGAAAACTTACCACAGTAGAGCAGTTTTTCATCTGATTTATCCTTACAATGAGGAATGCCATCACAGGTGAGCTGATAATCAATACATTCTCCATTTCCACACTCAAATTCTGAATAAATATTGCAGGAAGAATTTTTAGCTGAAAAGAAAAAAAGTCAATATTTCATGCAACAACAAACATTTTTGATGTCATAACAATTGTTTACTTTAATCTTAGTCATAAAAATAAATTAAAATTTGTTTATATAAAAATTAATGAAGGGCAATTGTTTATGGAATTTCTTTACAAAAAAATTAAGAGGGATGAATTTATTGTGTTGTTTTCAAACTCCCTTTGCAAATGTTCATAAGTTGCCTCACTTTATCTTTGTGTTTAAAGTATGTTTGTGGATTTTGTTAATTATTTAGTGACTGTACATGTGTGGAAAGAAGGAGGAGCTTAAATTTGGGTGACTATATTTATGTATCTTGCTTAGCACTTTATCCAAAAAAAAAATGTTTAAAAAGAGCCAGTGAAATAAGCTCTGTACATACTGAGAGTGATTTTGTATTTTCTTACTGAAATCTCATATATTCTTCAATACACTGAAATTTTTTAGAGTATAGAGTTCTCATCTTGGATGCCTTGAATTGATTCATTTCACTGAAGTCTCACCTCCAAATGTCCTTCCTCCCCAACTACCTGCTGAAAAAAATCTCTGTAACAATTTCTATCACTCAGAAGTATTAGAATTGCTGAAATTATTCCCTATAGAATAGACAGAGCCTTTTGTGCTATTTACATTGTGAGAGGTACCAGGGAGAAAACTCTCTTTTCCTGCCACATGTGATCAGCACCTACTCCTTGAAATGCATGGGAATCTGTAGGGGGTGCTGGTGAAGGACAAAGATAAACTGAAAAGCACATGCAGCAGATGCTTATGGGCTCCAGTTAACCACTGCCATATTGTTCCACTTCTAAGTGCCAGGATTCTTAGAAGAAATTTAAAGCCCGAGTTTGTATGCGATTTGACCAACTTGTGAGTAAAAAAAACAGCCATGAGTACAAGGAAGCTTTTCTATAGCTAGGTTTCATCCCTGGAATGCCAATTTGTGACCCATGTTTTAGAATGATCTCTTTTGGGGAAAATAGACATTTTTCAAAAATGTATTTATTTTTAATTGGAGGATAATTGCTTTATGATATTCTGTTAGTTTCTGCCATACATCAACATGAATCAGCCTTAGGCATACATATGTCTTGTCCCTCTTGATGCTGCCTCCCACCTCCCACACTATCCCACTCCTTTATTTTCATTCTTAAACAATTGATTTACTAGCAAGCTTTTAGAGTGCAATGTTTCTGCTGCATTATGTGCTGTCTGCTTGCATATACTCAGTCTATTGGGCTTCCCAGGTGGGGCTAGTGGTAAAGAACCCGCCTGCCAATGCGGAAGATGTAAGAGATGCGGGTTAGATCCCTGGATCAGGAAGATCCCCTGGAGGAGAGCACAGCCACCCACTCCGGTACTCTTGCCTGGAGAATCCCATGGACAGAGGAGCCTGGTGGGCTACAGTCCATAGTGTCTCAAAGAGTCTAACACAACTGAAGCGACTTAGCACAGGGCAGCACTCAATCTATTGCTTGTAGAAAAACCATACAAGGAAAGTAAGTCATATTAATTATGCTGGAGGTAATTACAATTCATTTATCTCTACTAATGCAGGAAATATAGTTTAATTTTATAATTTGCTATCAGCTTTTAGGATTTATTTCAGGAATATTCAATTAAACAGACTCTAATACTCTTTGAAGTTCCCAGTGTTTTGTTTCTTTAGTATTCCTAGAATGTAACCATCTTTACAGAATATTTATATTTTCTCTATTTATCTATTAACAACTTATAATTTAACTTATTAAATGATAGCAGCCCTCTCTAAAGTTAATTTTGCTTTTCATGGTGCAGTCTAAATTTCTAGTCAGTAGCTAAGGTAGAATGCCATTTTAGAGGAAATAACAAGAAATTAAGAGTCTAAAAATACTATTCACTTTAAAGAATTATTATCTTCAAGAAGAGTGCTGACTTACTGCTCACAATCACCTTAGATCATGAACTGAATAAAATTCATCCATTTACCAAGAATACATTATCATTCCTAACTTGTTTTATCTATTTTAAACACATACTGTTTAGTTTCTCATTGCCAGTGAAAAATAATCGCTATGATAGAAAATGCTATATTTTGGTTTTATAATCACTGTACCTTTGAGGAAAAGATGATAATATTTATGGTAAATATGGTTTATTATGCAAAAAAAATATTATATGAGCACAATTCTTATTTAGGTATGTTCATTTGAAGAAATAGTATTGAGTATTTTCTGCCTCTCTCTAGAAACAAAAACTGTGGTTCAGCTGTCCTCCATTCTCTTACAAGGTAATTGCTTCATCTAATTATATTTGCTATTCTTATTTCTGTTATGGGTGTTAATAAGGTTAGCAATGTCATGTAAAATGGAATTGCCTAATCTTTTTTTCTCAAGAGTTATGACAACAAATGGTTTTCTCTCCTTTGCCCTCAAGTAGGTGTTAGTAAATAACCTTTCACCCTTGTAATGCTGCCGTTAGCATTCATAAACTGCTCTGGGTGAACTAATTCCGATGTGGACCCCAATATAACAGAAACATCATCATTTCCCAAAGATAGATTTGACAAGAAGAAGCCAAGAGTTACTTTTCAATCTCTCTGCTGAACCACAGAATTTCAATATGAATGCACATTGGATACAAGATACTTCTGTAAAGATTTGTCAGTTCTGAAGAATCCAGTATCACTCTACAGTTCCACGTGAATACAACTATGCTTGTTTTAACACTCCAGTTTTCTGTCTGATTCATTCCCTCACATCAATAGTGAGACGCAGGTGGCTTAGTAGGGACAGATGGATCTAGTCTATTTTGCTGCAAGGACAGGAATCTACTGTATATAAATAAGCCTTGCTGTTTTGACCAGAGGCATTGGTTTACTATTGGCCTGCAGTGACCTGTGAAAGAAACATGAGTGATTCTAATGCATGGCTAACACTCCAGGCTTACAGATGGCATCGGATCCAGACAATTACAGCTGAAACCACAAAGGCAAACAAATAGAGAGTTTAAGCAATTGCTTGAGCAATTCAGGGAAGTGTTAGGTAATGAAGAAATATTGGAATTGTGGCCCAAATTATTGAAATCAGCTATCTACTGACCAATTACGTCATTCCCTTGTTTGCCTCGACACATTCTTAAAGTCTTTTACTTATTTTGCTAAGAAATGCCCTTTTGGATTATGTGCCAATATACAGGGAGAAAATATGTGTATGTTCCTGCATTAGGTACAGTAGTTTTCCTGGTTAAAAAATTATGTCAAAGTGTTTGTATTAGAAAAAAGTTTCCAAATGTACATGTGTCCAAGAATCACACTTGTTTGTATTAAAATAAAGAACAGGCAAAAGAGAAGATCCTCCTGGTATACAAAGACTGAAAAAAGACAAAAGATGTGATTGAAAAATACTTTCAGCTTATGATTCTTATTTTTATAATGTAGACATATCCAACTCTATTGATTTTCTAAGATGAAAGATAGGAAATAAGTATACAGATGAGAAGAAAAAAAAAACTGAACACATCCTAAGAATTTACCAATTTACAGTTTTCCAAGACGCTTCTCTCCTGTCATTCTTACTCACATCTAGTCTTGATGTTAAAGAGAAATTAACCCTTTTTATGTTACTGGATGATTTTCATGACATTATTAGAACACTTGAACCATTATTTACGGTAGTAACAGTTTGGGAAACTTAGCTGTAAGTATGTACAGTAATGGTACTAATTAAAGATTCTAATGCCTTTGGAAGGTATAAACATCACACAAGGCTGCGATGCTACATTTTTAATTAACAGTTCAGAAATGACTACAAATAAAGGGTGAGCCATTCTTTCTCATTTACATACTCTGACCGATTGTGAGTGGGTTCACTACTAAGCTACTGCCTGTACACTGGTTTTCTTTTGACTTTAATTAATTTTGCTATTGACTGAATTCTTAAAGTCATAACTCCAAGTTTTCAGATATCATTGTATACAGGCATTTCTCCCATTTGCCCAACATCTTCCAGCCATAATCAGTGGATACAACACTCATCACTATTTGGGTTATTATTACCTATCACATAGTGCTATAGGTAGAATGGTAAGCAGCTCTTTTTAGAATAGAGAGATAAGCCAACAGTGTCTCTAATATCGGAGGAGAGTACAACTTCATACATACACTAAAACAATTCCAATGTCCATGTGTGCCATTTTGAGTAATTTATGTGTCACATCACATCTTAATTCTCTTTACTTACTCACACATCTGTTGTCTTCCAGCAATATTCGATCCCCTCTGCAGGAACAATTCACTCTTCCGTTAGGAGTTAAAAGGCACAAGTCATGGCAGCCTCCATTCAATAATGCACATGGAGAAAGTTCACCTGCAATAAAGGCGTTTAATGGTGTCATTTTATATTGAAGTCCTGTACTGTGTTAATATAGATTAACAGTAAACTGTTAGACAGCCTCAATCTCTCAAAATATCTCATGAACAAGGAAGATTCAGAACTTTTGAAAAGCTAAAGATTCCAAATGATAAGTACATTTAAAAATATGTAACAAATCTCTACATTTTCTAACATATTTGTCATTCAATACACTGGTATCTTTAGAAACTACACATATACTACAAACTGCAATTTTGTAGGTATTCCAGTGATTAAAAGAAAATGTTTAGGTCAGATGCAAACCTTGTTTATCAAATAATACTTTATCAAACAAGTATTATTATCTTGAAAACAACTTGATTTGAATGATCAAAAATAAGAGGAGTGAGAAAGTGTGAAATAGATATCCAGAAACTAATAATTAAAAGTGAATTGTTCCCCTGGTGATAAATTAAGAAGTACAAAATTTCCATAAAATGTTCAGACAATTTCAATATATTCAATGGTCAAAGCCTGAATACTAGCCCTAGAAACAGTAAGAAAACAAAATCCAGCTAAGTATTACTTAAATATATATATATATATTTTTTGAGAGATTATATAATTAAAAATGAATTTGCTTTCTATTGTAACTTACAGCTATTGGTGTCATTGGCAACAGCTATGATACCCATTGGTTGATGTGGAATATCAGAACGAAGAATTTTTGTATCTCCTCCTGTGTACTTGTTAGAACGCAAGATAGCTCTTCTTCCCCAATCTGACCAGAAGATATAATTGTCATATACAGCCAGACTGAGAAAAGTTCCTGGCCCAGATCTGACAATCACCTGAAATAAAGTAAAATATCACATTTTTTAAAATGAAACTATCTGCATATTATTTTGCTCAAAAAAAGAGATTATTAGTTTTTTTTAATCAATTGAAATAATCAGATAAAAATACACTTCACTGACTGTATTAAGGTTTATTTTAAATATCATAACCATCCTTACCTTTTATAACGTGCTTACTTAATATTTTGAAGTATATTTCTATTTAATAGTCATTCACTTTAAGCAATTGTGTACTTTTAGTATTATAAACAAAAATCAAGACAAAACTATGAGATTAACTGTTATTACTATCAAACATTTTTATTAAGAAATCATTAGATATGTATTAAATACTCATTAAGCCTTCAAAACTGTATACAAAATACACGATACAATTTTATACAGGTTATTCCTTTAGATGACACAAATGATTTAGCAGGATATCCATGCATTGGCAAAGAAAATTTAAAAGTAAAGACCAAAAAGTTTCACTCAGATCAAGATGAAGTAAAAGGGACTAGATTTCCCTTCCCAATAAAACAACTAAAAAACTAAGCAAAATATATACAACAAGTCTTTTCAACAAATTGAATATCAGGTAAGAAATGACAGTGACTCCTATGTAACAGGAAATAAACCAAGTGAGTCCCATAACCTCCACAGTTTGTAACCTGAGACAGTGACCAATAGTGACACAGTGCAGAGGGACTCAATAGAGATCAGGGAACTCTGAGTGGAGAGAGCTAAGAGTTATGGGAGTTATGGGAGAGTGATATGGTTAGATCTCACAAGGCTGAGTGTTAGAGAAGGGAATGTACCAGAGGGAGAACTCTGGATATCTGCAAGGGTCCTCCTGGAGTATTCAGCCATATACCAAGCACATGTGCCTTGATTCATGGACCTAAAATTCCAGGTTCCTATGTAATATTGCTCTTTACAGCATCAGACTTTACCTTCATCACCAGTTACAACTGGGTGTTCTTCTTGCTTTGGCTCTGTCTCTTCATTCTTTTTAGAGTTATTTCTCCACTCTTCTCTAGTAGCATAATGGGCACCTACAGACCTGGGGAGTTCACCTTTCAATGTCATATCCTTTTGCCTTTTCATACTGTTCATGGGGTTCTCAAGGCAACAGTACTGAATGGGCAAATTTAACTCAGATGACCATTATATCTACTACTGTGGCAAGAATCCCTTAGAAGAAATGGAGTAGCCCTCATAGTCAGCAAAAAACTGAAATGCACTTCTTGGGTACAATCCCCCAAATGACAGAATGATCTCTGTTCATTTCCAAGGCAAATCATTCAATATCACAGTAATCCAAGTCCATACTCCAACCAGTAATGCTAAAGAAGCTGAAGTTGAATGGTTCCATGAAGACCTACAAGACTTTCTAGAACTAACACCCAAAAAAGATGTCCTTTTCATTATAGGGGACTGGAATGCAAAAGTAGAAAGTCAAGAAACACCTGGAGTAACAGGCAAATTTGGCCTTGGAGTATGGAATGAAGCAGGGCCAAAGCTAATAGAGTTCTGCGAAGAGAACACACTGGTCATAGCAAATACCCTCTTCCAACAACACAAGAGAAGACTACACATGGATATCACCAGATGGCCAATACT